GTTTTAAGTTGAGGGAGGGCAGATTTAGGTTGGATGTCAGGGGGAAGTTCTTTACAGAGAGTGGTGAGGTGCTGGAACAGCTGCCCAGAGAGGTTGTGGATGCCTCATCCCTTGAGGTGTTCAAAGCCAGATTGGATGGGGCCCTGGGCAGCCTGGTCTGGTATTAAACGGGGAGGTTGGTGGCCCTGCATGTGGCAGGGGGTTGGAGCTTCGTGATCCTTGAGGTCCCTTCCTACCCGGGCCATTCTGTGATTCTGTGAAAGGCCATCTAGTCCTACTCCCTGCCATGGGCAGCTCACAGACTCCTTCTTTCTTCCTAATGCGCATGAGTTGTCTTCAATGCTGGTGTCTTTTTCAGAAGGGATTCTGTTCATAGGACATGAACCAAATAGGGTAAAATCGAAACTCCTTCCCTACTCCTCCTTCCCTCTATAATCACGAGGCAAAGAAATTAGTTAACTTCCTTTGCAAGCAGGATTGCTCCTGCTCTTATCACCAGAAGAGGCAACCACAGGAGCAAATCCCAAACTACGTCCCAACTCAAAGCAGGCAGTAAGGCAGGGTAGTTAGCCACCTGCCTGCTCTGCCTTCTCAAATGTCCAAACCCCTCACATGTGCCTTTGAATGATGCCTGCGTGATAGCACTGCACACACACCAGAGGTGAACTTACCCACTGGAGTCAGTCAGCTGTCGTTTATCGTGCCGAGAAGCAAGCAGCACATCCTGGGATATGGTAAATCTCAGGAAGTGATGCCAGATGATACCACCACCTGTCAGGTCCCCAAACTATAGCTTCCCATCCCTTAGCCACTGGGCATTTGTAGCCTGAAGATGAACATGCTGTGATGATACCAGATACCCACAGCTGTGTGGGTGGTCATACTTGAGCTAGTTGTAGCTAGTTTTGTCTTGCCAGGCTTGTCCCATCCATCTGGTCTAGTACTATATATGGAGGTTGGCAGCCCTGCCTACAGCAGGGGGCTGGAGCTTGATGATCCTTGAGGTCCCTTCCAACCCAAGCCATTCTATGACCTTGGACGCAGCACGGGCACAGCCCCAAAGTCTTCTTGTGGGGCCAACTCAGAAGAACGACGGGGAGTGAATAAAAGAATGGAGGATGTCCTGGGAGACGGGGAAGGTGGGTGTGAAATACTGACTTGGGGAACACACACAGAGGGTCATGTGGTGACTGTCTGGTCCTCATGACCTTGAAATCCCATTTCATGTTTTAAGCCCAGTAGAAAGATATGCTGTCCTACCCCAAAGAGCTTGTAGTCCAAATGCAGAAAGCTGTGACAACACCACAAGTCTGGGTTGAATACTGAGCCAGAAGACTTAGTGGGAAAAAAAATGAGGGGGTATTAAGGCTGAAGAGACCGAGGAGTTTGGTAGGAAACGAGGCAAAGGGATTTTGAAGGAGAAGAAGAACAGCAAAACAAGGGCAGCAGCCCCTCAGTCCAGGCCAGGGGAAGCCCGGCGGGGCTGCAGGTGCGATGGCTTTAAAAGGACCGAGCTTTGAGAAACAACCTGTTTCAGTTCTCTTTTTCAGCAACAGCCACAAAATGGCTTTCAAAAAAAGCAGCGTTTCTCTCGAAATATGAGAGTGAACTGATCTTGTTTGTGCCATAATAAAGTCATCTGCCATTTGGTTTTAATGAAGTCCTTTTCATGATGGTTTTGGCTGGGCTGTGTTCCCAGCTGCTAGGAGGAACTTGTGAGAACTGTATTAAATCCATGGGGGGGAGGAGGGAAGCAGGGAGGGAGGGCACCGCTTGAAGTTTAATTTTCACAAAAGAAAACACGGCAGACAGGCAGGATGCTTAAGAACAATACCGTAGCAGGTCAGTAATTAACGATGGCTCCCTCTAAGCTTTCAGGGCTTTACCAGCTGCCAATTTCAGGAACAATAAATACAAGCACCGCTTAGTGCTGCTCCACAGGCAGGAACACAAGTCTGCACCACAACCTGCACAGCATACACAGGCGACTGCTGTTTCTAGTGTTAGGTTGATTTCTCCCAGCTCCCCAGATATTTTTTGTTATTTCTTGTCTCCATCAGCATCAATTCTTTTCTCGGATTTCAAAGACAAGGGTGAGGCTTTTTCAGTACTATCTTCCCAAGCAGATGATTGGAGGTTCTCATATGCAAAAAGTGCATCCCTCCTTGCCACCCCAGCACTCCCAAGAGCTCTTCCATGTACTCACCATCCTGGAGGACCTCCGGCGTGGCTGTCCTGCTGCAGTCAGATGTTATGTCCAACCACGCACACAGGAGATGGTGCACACACTTACACCAGCAGATTCATTTCAGGTTCTGCTTTCTTCCTCCTTCAGCTGCAGATTAGTTCCCCTTAACCTCCGAGTTTCATGGTGCATACTAACAGTTAAAAGTCCCAAATTGCCATCTAGATGTTGATACCCTGTTTTTAAATGCTTATCTCCACCTGCTTGATATAATTATACTCAAATAGGGGAAAATGGATACAAAAAGAAAGTAGTGGAGCAGACACGAAGCCTGCTCGCCATCCTGCTCTCTCCTGAATTTACTGCTTTATACAGATTACCCACCAGCAGGACCACCCCACTATCAAAGCAGGGCTGGGTCGAGGTGAAGGCTGCTGCAATGTTTTTAGGCTCAAGTTAGCAGAAAGCTAAAGTCAGCGTTATGCTGGAGCCAGGTTTTGTCTGCCCTCAGGGAAGTGGTAACTCCAGCAAGCAGCCATGCTAAGGGTCCAACCTGCTTCTGGAATGTGCCCATGTTTCCCCTGCTGTCCTCTGCAGACGAGCCAGTGCTTACTGCTCTCTTCAGTTTTGGATCACAGAACCACAGAATATTCCAAGTTGGATGAGACCCACAAGGATCATCATCAAGTCCAAGCCTGCAGCATCACCCAAATCCAACCCTATGTCTGAGAGTGGTGTCTCAACACATTCTGAGCTCCCTACAGCTGACAGCTGTAGCTGTGATTTAAGATGGAAGTGGGTTTGAGGAGCAGTATAAAATGCTTTATCTGAGGGGGGAAAAAAAGAAGACCAGCAAGGTTCTTGGCAAACAAGTGACTTGCTTCGTATCTCCACTTCTGTTCCGCAGACAAGGATCCTTCTGTCAATTGCCACCTTCCCACACACAACGTAAATACATCTCTCACCTTACAGCCATGTACACTCTGGTTAGCAGACTCCTTCTAAAAACCACGCTTGGTCTCCAGTTTGTTAGAAACATGTATTAAAGTACATGGTGGAAGATCTTTAAACGCGTATGCGGGAGGTTTGCTATGAAGAAGCTGCCAGCTTAACGTGCTCTATCTCAGAGAGCTACTAATGGAGAGGAACACTGCTACCACTGCAGAGATCACTACAAAATCACACTCTGGTTTGCACGAGAACAAAGCCGCTGGATCCGGGCACCAGCAGCCAAACAGAAGGATGGAAGCAGAACAGCCCGGGTCCTCATGCCTGAGAGGAAAAACGCTCTGCTTATGCTCTGTGCCAAAGGACTGTAAAATCAGCTGAATGAAAATGTCACTTCAGGTCAAGAGCGCTGAAATGGTTCAGCTGACAAGCCTACAGAAAATTCCAAAGTCTACAGAAAAACATGGCTTTTTGTTTGAAAATAAAGATTTTCTCAATTTCAACTGTTTGAATAATTCAGTAAATATCATTAACCTCAGACAGTGAAACATTTAGCACTCCACATATCATAGAACCATTGAATCGTTGGAGTTGGAAGAGACCCTTAATGACTGTGTGGTTCAACTCCCCTGCCATGAAAAGGGACACCCACAGCTCCATCAGGTGCTCACAGCCCTGTCCAACCTGACCTTGGTTGCCCCCAGGGATGGGGATCCACCACCTCTCTGGGCAAGCTGCTCCAAGTTCCATATCTGAAATAATTCTTTTCAATACAACGTTCAGGGCTCGTTAGCTGTATTTTGGTTGGAGGAAGTGCTGACTTCAATGTAAAAGATCGCCAACTAGTGTAGCTCTATGATTGCTCTTTCAGAGGGGGGTTTTCAGTCTCGGTCTCATCACTTTTCTTTCACTGCCCCTCCAGCTGCACCTAGGAAATATGACCTACAAATATTAGGAAAAACTTTATTATGATCTACCTTTGCTTTCCAAATATTACATTCCTCCCCTTTGTTTTGCAAAGCTCCCGGTGGCCTCACCAATTCACAGCAGTTGCACTTCCTGGGGGAAGACATGCTACAGCTCTTACAGCCCACCAGCAGGCAGAAGAAACCACTCCCTGTAAGACCCCACCCCCAGCTGCCACTGCTGATTTCAAAAGGCTACTTTGCATGGCATCTAAACTCAAGTACCTCTCAGCACTGCTGGGAAAGCCCGTGGAGAGGCAACAGTGTGTGCAACTCAGCCCTGTGCTTTAGTTTGCAAAGCAGGGTGGGTGAAGCTGCAGCCAGCTGAAGCTGTGCAGGAGGAAAGATTGTTCATGAAGTGCCAGGAAGGATGCGAAGGTCAGAGAGAACTCCAGGAAGAAAGGAGGACAGGGATGCTGCAGAGAAGAATTTCACAGATATAAACTCCAATACGTATAAACTGAAGGCACAAGAGTGGGTAAAGCCACCATTTTTTAATCATTCGTACTGGGGCATGAACATACCTAGGCTGGGCTTAACCTTTAAAAACACCACTGTTAATCATGGCAACACAATCAAATAGCACTAAATCCAAAACTAATGACATTAATGATCACTGAACCACGCTCAGCAGTAAGACCACCCTCAAGCCATGGGACACGCAGACTTCACTCCTGTACCTCTGGGGGCAGAGGTGAGAGGAGCCCCACGTACCATAGGCCTCTATGTATCTGTGCCAGCCAGGTGTCAGCAGAAGGGACCCAGGTGCACCGTCAGCCCCCAGCTGCTCACAATCCTTTCCCTAACCTGTACTTACTGACACCAATATAAACAGGCAGTTGAAAAATTTTGTACCAACAAACACTCCCCTCCTGCAAATTAACCACACCAAAATGCAGAGCTGTAGTGTCACATGATAAAAGAATGATTTATTAGAGCAACTTTATGATAAAATTATATAAAATAACAATTTATTTTTTTTTTTCCTTAAAGACGTCCACAATATCACCTTGGAACAAAATGTACAGATACTGCCTATAATCCAAACAAAAATAAATTACCATTCAAAAAAAAAAAAAAAAAAAAAAAGCAAAAAACAAAACAGGGGTAGGATAAAGAAATCAAAATTGTACACAGCATTTCAAGAGGGTGTGGGAAAGAGAAAGTCATTGATCAGTTCAAGTTATACCGACGTGTTTCAGCTTTACTCTCAGACAGCTCAGCTTGCATTTGTGCTGCATGCAAATGGAATGATCCAGTGAACAGTTCAGAAGAGCAGAATCAGCAGCATAACGACAGCAGATAGTGAAATAGGCACGATTTAGCACGGGGCACATTGACGTGAACAGGTAGCTCTGTCTGGTCCTTGCAAGAGTTATACACATTTACCCAGCTTCAAAAATAGCTACTGTGATCTGCAACACAACAAAAACTAGTAGAATCTTGCACTTATTTACACTTTTTCACCTTTTTTTTTTTTTTTCTTTTTTCCTTCCCAGTAGTCTGGATGTAAACATTCCACTAGTTTTACCCTTACTAAAATACTTGAAGATGATGCAGACTTCTTTCCTCCTGGAGCACAACCACAACAGGACATGGCTGTAGTTAAGGTCCTCCCTAGCAAAGCTCCCACACATTCTTGCAGAAATTTACATTCATTCCATCAGAACAAAAGAACAGGTTTTTACATTTGAAAGCGTTGAACTGAGAACATGGTTTTCAAGTATAGCAGAACGGAGGATTGGGATTTTGAAAGGTGCTCCTGACATCAGGCACCCAAATTCACTTGGGAGCCCAAAAGGGTCTGAGCACTTGCTTCCCTGCGGCTTTGAAAAATCCCACCCTTTGTTACATTTCTTTAGTCAAATACAAAACACACGAAAGCAAAATGGTAATGAGAACTGCCCGTGGGGTCAGGGTCGCTCCAAACTCCACACACAGCCTGCCAAAGCCATCAGGTTTCCTACACACTGAGCCTGGGCAGCAGGATACACCTGGAGAGTAGCACTGCAGTCACACACAGGCGTGTTTTCATGGCCATGCACACTGTAAGAACGACCAAAGGATGAAGGAGCTGTGGCTGTGTGGCTCTCTCTTTGGCTTATCCGAGCAGACAAGTGCAAATGGAGTGTATGTATTTCAGAAGCAGCGAACATGAGGAAAGACAAGTTGCACTTCATCACCAACAAGAGTGTTTTGAATGCAAAGATCCAAGCATGAACGCTGTGTCAGCACACAAGCATTGTGTATTCTGGCTGAGTCACAAATAAGTCAAGCTGTGCATCTCCTCCCAGCCCTACACAAACACATCCAAATTGCAAGCAGACATGGACTGCTGCATCCCGTACTTGAAGAGGTCCCATGTTTGGTGGGTTGATGTCAGGTGGCTGCAGGCTCTCTCTCAAATTCAGAGCAAAGCAATCAAGGATGAAAATCCATTCCTGATGTGTTTACCAAAGAAGTAAGAATCAAGTAATTTTCAAGTGAAAGTAAACAGAAGTCACATCAAGGATGTGTTGCAAAGAAACAAAAACCACCAGAGCACAGCCAGGAAGATGCAGAAACATAGTGAACAATAAAATTCAGATGTCTGAGTAATTCATGTGTTTCTATAGCAAAACTGAAACTAACAGCAACACCTTATCTGTGAAGGTCCTTCAACTCCTAATGAGCTGGGGTAGCACCTGGACATACTAAGCCCTAACAAAGAAGGGCCTGAACACACGTGTCATATGTCAGGAACAACACCACCACGTAGGATATTCATCACAGACACAGTCAGGCATCTCAAGGAAAGACAGATCAGATAAACAACCAAATGAACACATTCTGTATACTACAGGCAGAAGAAGGTACAGTGCGTAAATTACAGGCAGAAGAACATGAAGGGCAATTTTTTTTCTCTCTTTTCTTTTATTCTGCTTTCATTTATGTGAAATTCAGCAGATTTCTTCATGGAAGAGCATTTCCACGTAAGCAGATGAGCCTTATAAGCTGCTGGAGATCTTGGAAGGGTATCTGAACTTATTGTTTGACAGCCAGCATCTTGCAGAGACAAGAGAAGCTAATGGCCTGCTGGCATCCTCCCATCACAGGACTGATTCTGTTTCTGCTGAAATTGACTTAAATTTCCCAATGGCTTCACCAGGAAAGCCCTCATGCTCTTTGCTAGTAAGATTAAACTCTTTGTGAGCATCCCTACTTATTGAAATTATTGTAGCTGGCTCCCACTTTCACGACATTGTAGCAGAAAAGCTCAGGTAACTACTGAAGCTAACTAAGGGATCCACTACCACCCCAAAATATAAAGTCAGCACACAAGAAGCAGCAGTCAAGCTTGGGGTTCCATTTTCACTGGTTAAACTACACACTGTATGAGGGCAAAGTGGAACTCATCTGCTCACCTTTCCCAGCAAATGTTTCCTCCATGAATATGGAAGGATTTCTCTACCTGATTACTGCTTGTGGACCAGGAATGAATGACAAAGGAATTACTACAGGATGGAGAAAACTGGGAGCAAACACACCTGGAAGAGGTCCCCTCAAAAAACAAACCTTTTGTTCTTAAAGTAAGAAAAATTGCTTTGGGTTTTGTATGTAACTGAAAGGGTGGATACAAAACGCAATGCTTTCTCAACAGGAAACTGCTTAGTGCAACTGCACGTAATACTCATCAATGTCTAGGAGACAGACAAAAAAAAGACAAAATCCAGACAAAAATCCCAAATGTACCAAGTGCTTGACACTGGCAGGTAGTTCCTAAGGAACAGCACAACATGGTAGTTTTCAAGCACTTTTGCACTGAGTAAGAAGTTCATAGCAGAACTAACCATAAACGAGGAGCTACATTGCTGCCATTCTTTTTTGAGTGCCATCAAGTGAACACTAGTTCACAGCAGCTATGCAATTAAGTTTATTACGTGAGCCACTGGAACAGATGTTTCTCTTAACAATTAGCTAAATCACAACCATCTCAGTCTTTGGCCCAGACTGGAGCATTTGTAGCTCACTGTGAAAGATTGTACAGCAAATCTTTTGAACCTGTAAAGACAGGAACTGTATCAAAAATTTGGCAAGCTAAACCATAATTTGACTTTTCGTACCTACAAATAATTTTGGGACTGAAACATCAAAAACAGCAACTGCATTAGTAGTCATTACATTCACACAATTAACAACTCTTACACTTGACCAAGAGGGAAGAAAAAAAAAAAAGAAATTATGTCTTGTTTTAGTTTTGGGGCTGAAAAAAGAACATAAAAATGTACAACTTCAGTATGGTTGCCTTTTTAAGACTGCTGAAAAGGACTACTTAGAGAACTGTAATGAGTTTCTCCTAGAAACCCACTGTATTGCACCATCATTCTGCTGGATTTGCACTTGGATTCCAACAGAGCTGCAATGCTCGCTTACACAATTAAAACAAAACAGCAAAGCAAAACCAAAACAAATCTAGTACCCAAAAAAGTGTTTCTTAAATTGAGCCTCATTACAACTGAATCATTATGAACAGGCTGATGCAAAAGCACTGGGCAGTACTGAACAGAGGGTGTGCAAAGCCTGTTTGCTTATGGCACAACACTGGAAGAGTGAGTAAATTGTTAGAAATCAGTTTGCCTCTATGCTGAACATGTGCTGCTCCACAGTGCTAGTCTTGATTCAAAGGCATATGCAGACTTGCCATTCACCCTCACAGCATAGATTCCTTTCTTTTGTGCAATGTATTAGCAATCTAAACAACTGCTCCACACAAACTGTCCACAAACCACTCACACACAATACTACAGTAGATTACAATATGATAGCAATACAAAATATCAGATCACGTATTTCTCTCCATCTGGAATGAAATTTGTATCTTGCAAGCTAGAAGACCCACAGTTTGATTTCTGTGTGTAGTTTCTCATCTGTGCTGGAGACAAAGTCTCCAGTGTGGATCCAGAAGCGTTAGCAGTCCTGACTTTAGTGGCTGTTGATTGTTTAGCAGCAGAAGATGCTTTGTTACTGGCAACTACATCCAAGTTTCCAGTAGGGTCAATGATAGCATTTATCACTGGGGAAAAAAAAGAGACAAACATATTAGCAGCACTCAGCAGTTTCCAAACAGAAATTTGCTTCCCTTCATTTTGAAGGCCAGAGAACTGCTGGCAGTACCTGTGTTCATTTAATTATGTTGTTTTCTTCCTCAGCCTAAGCAGCTTTAATAAGCAAAACCTCTCCCAAACTGAAGTTACAAGGACACTCAGCTTTCTGGTTGAATTGGAAAAGACAAACTACACCAGTAAACCACATATGGCAGGAGGCTGAAATTACTTCTCTGTGTTTTTGTATGTCTTTATTAAGCTTCCAGATGATCTAAGAGGCAGCTACTGAAATCACCTTGTCACCTCTATGTACAGAGCTCTATGTACAAGATTTAAGTCAGTGTGAATGCTTACACAGTCAGAAAGCAGAACACAACTTACTGGTAGAAAGAGCTGCTAAATATTTCTTCCAGCAGAAGACCTTTGCCAGTTCATCTCATGTGAATATCCTAATTACCACAAACAAAGCATTTCCACAGCAACAGTTTCCACATTTCAGAAGTCAACAATTTTGGAAAACTAAAAACTGGCAGCACAAAATAAATACACTGTTCGTTCCATATCCACTCAAAGAGCACAGAGCAAACTATACTTGCAGCCCTTTCCAGCTTTCACTGGTAAATCAAAGCACACTGTTTTATTCTGTAAAACTTACTAACAAAGAAAAAGCACATTTCAAATGACCAACCTTCAAGCTGTTTTTGAACTCTCCTGAGCTCCTTCAGGATAGAACTGATTTCCTAGAAACAAAAGCATGAGAAGAGAGTTAAGGAAAAAAACTTATTCAACTAATTTAAGAATCTAGCACTAACTCTTCCTGCCCTCTCCTATCAAGAATATTCAAAGTCAGTTCCAACACTGCTTATACAACAGAAAAGACAAATATAGCATTATGGTTGGACATGGTCATTTTGAATGTTTTTTCTAGTCTAGGCGATTCTGTGATGTGTATTTAGGTGTATCTGGTCAGTGCATGGGACCTCTGCTCTGCCTTATTTTCCTCAAGTGCTACTACACCACCCAGTTCATAGCCTCAGTGGTTTGGTAGATTTGAAATGTTAGCCAGATGAACTGTCCACATAGCTGGACACTGTGCTTAGGCTCGTTCACACTCCTTCACTACCATGCATACAAAGATGTTTGCAACCAAAGCAATTGGCCATGTGTACACTAGTGTAGCACTGACCCTTTAGACACAGGTCCTGCACACAGTTATATGTACACTTGGCATTAGTCAGGCTTGCTGAGACCCATTATTGCACTGAAATCCATGCTTGCAGTCCCCATAAATAAGAGTAAGAAGTTATGAGAGCACAAACACCCTATGGATGAGGCACATTTTTATTTCCCTATTACAGAACTGTAACAGGTGAAAAAAAAATACAGGACAAGCACCAACGTGCAATTAAAGCTGTGGGAACCACATGGCAGGTGATGCTTTAGAAGATGTTTAAATGGAATCTAATGACCCTGAACATCTGCTAAGGGACTGGGTATCCAAATATGAATTAAGGCAGAAGGGAAGATTTTGGTGAAAGTGATTAGCAGAACAGCTGGAGGAACTCACCTCGTCATACTGAAAACACCACCAAGAAACAGCAATTGAACACATGCAAATGTACTACCAATTTCAGAAATGGGTTTCAGACTTGTTCTTTTCATTTTCAAAAAGCTTCCATGGACACAAGCCCTGAGGAGTGTACTTGTTCACATCTACCTTGTTTGATGTCTTCAGAATTGGCACTTCGTTTTCAGAGTTAATTTTGGCCTCCATCTCCTCCCAGGTCCTCTCTGAGTTTTGAAACAAAATCCTGCAGCACAAAAATGTGAAATGGGTCTTAAAATTGCCATCCAAAAGCTGATTGTTTAAAAGACTTAATTATCACAAGATGTGGCAACAAAGGAGATTAGTGGATTAGTGACAGGACAAAGCTCCTTTCAGCTGATTTAGGGAAGGACTTCAGATTGTCTGTAACTGATGGCTTCTGGAGCAACAAGAAGCTTTGTTGTTGCACAAGTCCAGGCGATCTGCAGGCTTTCTGAGACCCTTGAGAGAAAAGAGGAGACAATCCACCAACAGGAAGACATTTCCCCCCCCCCCCCCCTTCTTTCCTCAGGGAACATTTCAAAGTTAATGCAATAAGAGGCATTACAAATTCAGCACTAGAATTCCAAAGACCACACATCTGAAAAAAAGAGATGGCAAATAATCACATTACCTTTCCTTCACCATACAATCCATTTCGCACATCGACTCCCTGCACCTTGATAATAAGTCTCTCAAAAATGACAATTTGTTACCTTTCACAAGCAGACTGACAGCATTTCAGGCCAAGGACAAAAAGTTGCTTACTTCATTTTTTCAGCTAGGTTTTCTGTATTTTCACGGATTGTGTGCGATAACTGGGACACTGGGTTCAGCATCAGGTTGTCAAAGATGACCTAAAGTAAAAGAGAAAAATCAGATAAAGCAATTTTAGCAGAACTGACACATCAAAAAACCTGGAAGTTTTCAGAGTAAACGATCGTCACTGAAGCATCTTTAGCTACAGGGATGATATTCAAGGCTCAAGAGAGATTAAATGATGTACAGCTTTGTTACAGCACTTTGGCAGGAAGATTAACAGTTCAGACTTATCTAGAAGAATAGAGGAAGACAGAGCTGTTTGAAGACACATAACTGCTTTCTATGAGACTTTAGAAGTCTCACATAAAGATTCTCCCCCCAAAACAAGCAAGGAACCAAGTACGCATACACACAAACACACATGAAACAAAAAACACTCACAAGCCAAGAACTCCCAAAAGCAGTGGGAATGAAACCTTCTAAAGTGATTTTATCAGATTTCAAGCCACTCTCATGGTCACATATCCTGGCATTTGGCCAGGCATATCCTGACTCTGGCACAGCTGTTCCAAGAGCAGCTTGGCCAGCATGCCCTCTGCAGAAAAATAAGGTGCCATCACTGCTTATGGAAGAGTATTCATGACATGAGAACACTGATGTTGCGCCTTTCAAAGTTTAGACATTTGTGGTTTTCCTTTCTAACAAAAAGTGAAAGAGCCAAAATGGGCACTACCACTAAATGTCTCCTTATCAGTGATCCAGTCTCACATCTTAGTGAAGCAAAATTCCAGTTAGTATCAGCTTTTAAGAGTGATTTTCTGTTCCTTTTATTCTGTTTTTAATATGACCTCTCAAGAGCTCTCTTTTGTTGATAAAGATGTGCATTTTTGTCAGCAGCCTTTCGCAGCTTAGAAGAGCATATATGCATACTGCAAGTAATGTCATAAGTAAGTAAGAAAGTAAAGAAAAAGTTGGCTTGCCTCCTCACGGTTTCGTGTCCTTGTTTTTTTGGATAGATCATCTTCTCTATTATCATTCATATTTTGGTCAAAATTCTTCAGTTCCACTGATCCCGGAGGCACTTTCTGGTAGTTCAGACTTGCTTCTGGAATGTGCTGCACCAACTTGGAAATAATGAGTAATGAGTCATTAAAATTAGTAGGGAAGGAGGCACACAGCCACTCACTGCAGGTTACGCAGATTTTCAGGCAAGCCCCAGGGGAACACTGAGTCATTCAAGTCTTGTTCAGACAGGTATGGGTTCCTAAGCACAATTCTAGACCCCAATCCTGCAAACTTCCAGCAATTGGAGTCATTCTATGGAACTCAGTAGGCTGTTCCACTTTATGCTTTTAAGACTTGAACAAGCAGTCGAAAAGAACACCTCTGCCTTTTAGGAATATAGGCTAAAATTGAAAAAGGCCCTGTTTTCCCACATCTTGTGTTTTAATATATCAATGCAACATTAAAGTGACACTAAACTTAATCAGAAACCATTCAGTAACACATGGTAGAGATGAAAAAGCAACACAAGTCCACTGATAATACAGACAACACGAAGAACAGAAACAGCAAGACAGCTACTCATGTTTGGTTGACTGACGGACAAAAAACTCTGAAAGAAGATGAGAAAAACAAGAGCAACGAGACAGAAACACAAAAATAATGGGATGGAAAGTGCACCTGAGATGGATATGCCAGCCGAAAAGATCTACGAGCAATCTGTGTTAAAACAGAAACAAAGAGATCAATGCTACTGAATGACTGTGACAGCAGGTATCATAGAACACGTCTTGTTATCTTGGGGTGACATTCCCAAAAGCGCATTCCAAAGGACCAGCACTCAATGCCCAACCCATCAGCATGCACTGAAGCCCACGGAGGTCCTGGGCACCTAACCAGTTTTGCAGCTCCAATTTGTGGACAGCATTGAGAGAAACCCAGCAGCTCTCTGAGCACCAAAAATGGACTAGACACATAGCCCAGGACGCTCTCTGGTTGGCAACAGCACTCTGCTTATGAGGAAAACCATCTAAGGCCCAGGTTCCCCCAACTCTGTGCAGTAGCACTTGAGTTATACTCAGGCAGAAAGCATAAGACGTTATGCTGTAGGTATACAACAGCCAAAATGGTTAGCTAAAAATAAGCTTCCTTTTTTAAGCATCTTTTTGTGAAGTGCAGTGAGTTAGGTTGGTTACAGCAGTGAAACAGCATCAGAAGGGAATGAGATACTCCAGTCTGGCAGGTCTCAGCACAAGCACGTGAAAACACTGTAGGAGCAGTACCAGCTTCACCACCACTAAGGGGTCTTTATATGGGAGCTGGTCTGATCTCATGCTTTCTGTTCTGTCTCACAGAATCTTAGAACTGCTTGGGCTGACAGGGACCTCAGAGTTTGTCTAGTTCTAACCTCTTTGTCATGGGCAGTGCTGCCAACCACTAAAATCAGGCATCAGCTCAGGCTGCCCAGGACCCCATCCAACCTGCCTTTGAACACTTCCAGGGATGGGGGCATCCACAACTTCAACTGCACATCTGCAAGTGTTTCCTCCCATCATAGCAACAGTCACACCGAGCAAGTTAAGCAACAGTTTATAATAAACATAAATGGGATCTTCAGTTTTCTCCTAAACCAATATCAACTTCAAAAAACACAATTGTGCAGGACTCTATCATGAAGTGGTGCTGCTTTGGGCTGACCCACTTGACTACCCTTGCAGCAGCTAAGCTTTCAGCTTGGCTGCTCAGCTCTGCAGAAAGCTGAGTCTTGTGACACCTACTCACACACAGCCTAAGGCTTCAGAAGGCAAAATAACAAAGGTTTCACTCTTGCTGAACACATTTTAGTTTGGGTTTGCTTGATTTGTAGCAAAATTCAGCTCAATATCACTGGAATCTGGATTACTGTGTACTATACAGTTGACAGCTCTGAAAACAAAGCCACCGTAAACATGCAGGGGGGAAACTGAAAACCTCCCTGTCTAACATTCAAGCAAACACTGGACCTGAAGGGACAAAATATGAAGAATAAGTTTTAAATCTAAAGCTCCATCTTAAACTTTTAAGAGAACACACACAATTTAACTTTTAATCAAGCTCTGTAATAAAAGCAATCCTAAAAGCAATTTGTGTGAGGCTGAGAAATGTCACAGCACGCACAGGTCTAAAGTGAAGCTGCTGGTAAAAAAAACCCCAAACCCTCAGAAGTTATTCCAGTATCAGCACTTGTTTCTGATTTTTCCTCCAGTTTCTTAGAGCTGGTGCAAGTATTTAGTAGTAGAAAATCAAGGGCTAGCAGAATGGCATACAACACTGTAAAAGCTAGAGCTGTAAGGGGTGAGGACACAGTAAACATTGAATATTCACATATTTTCTATTACCAGATGTTTTGTACAACATTGCTAATATTACTAGAACAGTATAGTAATTTCTCATCACTGTGTCCTTCCCTAGAATATTCAATGTGAAGTTGTTCACAGTGCTTAGCATCAACACACTCCAATCTTCAGAGATTTCCTATTACCTTCCCTACATTAAGCTGAAGTAATCATTTGAGCACCAATTCATCAGAACCTTTCAGAGGCAGATCTGGAAGGATGCCCACTGACTGTAGTCCAGTTCCAAAGATGTGATGCGTATTTATTCAATGCCACATTAGTTTGTATCACTCCCATTCAGAACACGACCCTGAAAAGCACAGTTCAGGACCCCAAGCTATTCACGATTATTCAGCTCTTTGTGTGAGATGCTGGGCTGCTGATGCTGAGACAGAGTAGAAGCACCCTCAGCCTGAGTTCTGCAGGTATCACTGCTACCTAGCTGCAGGAAACAACCCTCTGTGTGTGTTGACTGAGGGCCGCACCCTTCAGTGGCACCCTGCAAAGATGTAGGCAAGCTGCTTTTGTGGAAGGAAGTGGGTGCTGGTCATGGCCAACCCACAGTAAAAGGTTTCATTTGCAAATCAGAAGAAAGATAGATTTGTCACCTTGGCTGCTCAAAAAGGGCAACACAAAAGGCAGTTTTGCGGGTGTGGCATTTGCATGTAAACAAAGCAATGAAACACTGTCTCAGAGCCTGAACTTATTGCGAAATGTTTGTGTACTCTGGCTCAAAGCTAAACAACACCTGGGGACAAAACCCTCCCTGGGAAGGCTGCAGCTGGTTGGGTTTAACAGCTCAGCCTTCCACATGTGATCCCACAGGAATCTCCCCAAACTTCTGTGTTGCACCTTCAGCAGGGTCACAGGGCTCCCAACTCCTCTCCTAGCAGGGTAACAAGTTTGGCCTCTGCTTTGAATCGTATTTAGTCAGGCCTCTAATCTCACAACAGACAATTGAGGACCACCTGAATAGCAAATTAAAAAAAAAAAAAAAAAGATTTTTAAACCCACACTAGTGACAGACAGGAGGGAATTGGGATTTATAAAGCAACAAAGGCGATCTTACTTTAGCAGCTGGAGCCTCTAGGTGACTTTACAGATGAATTTGAGCTGAATCCCTGAGCAGCTGCACCGATTGAGTCAAATTATGAAGTGGCCTCCATCCCGCCCCCCCTCCGTTAACCTCCTTCATCCTTGCTCACCCCACTGGCTGTTCACAGGTCCTGCATAACTTGCTGTGCATTCAGAAGCCAAGATTTCTGCCCTAGAGGATCTTACCTCTTCTCTTGCTGATATGGTGGAAGCAGGAGTGTTGGGCACAGAGCTGAGGGAGGTGCTTGGTCCTGTCCCTGACGAACTCTGCGAGTCCCCATCTCCAGCAACATCGTGAATCTCTCGAGCAAGGATGGCCACATCCTTCACCAAGGTCTGGCTAAGCCTGAAGCACAGCGTGCAGCACAGCAGTTAGGACCCATGATACAAGCCTCATATTCATAAAACATCAGTAGAGCAGCCACAAAAGACTTTTTTACTGGCAACCACAGAAAGTTTGCATGACTTACAACCTCTGCAGAGCTTTGGGTGCCTTGGCACAGTACTGAGGAACACTGTCTGCATACATGAGTAACAAAATAAATCCTCTCCTGTATCCAAGTTTCAACACAGACTTGAAAAACAAACTTCAGTGACTACACATTAGCAAAAAGCGTTGGAGATGATCCATGAAGAAGTTCTACATTACTGTTTCCCACTCATTCCTTTTTTTTAATAGAATAGGGTCACTTCTTTTACTTAGTTTTGTTCTCCCTTACAGAAGGAAAGCAGAACCAACAAAGCCATTGGTGACCATTATATTAATGGCTTATTTCCATGCTTAAACTGTTAAAGCAGGAAAAAAAAAAATAATGAAAGCATTTCTCCATCATTCAAAAGAACAGTAAGTCCTTCAGCCTTATGCAAATTATCCCAGTACAGCATTCTACAACATGGCTAGAACTCTTCTGGAAAGAGAAAACCTTTGTTCTTTATCACATAAATAGTAAAATCCTCACAGTGTATTTCCTTTTCCCCTGTAGTTTAAAACTCAAAACATGCCTCAGGATCTCCACAAGGGATGAGGGACTAGTAGGGCTATGCACCCTCAAAGTGATGTGACTGTCAGAAACCTCAAGTCCCTTGCCAAGTGTGCAGAGAGCACTCAGTGACTGCAGCACTCTGCTCCAGATCTCAAAACCAGTTTTTAAGACTCTGGATTGTTACAAGCACAGACTGAAAAAAAAAAAAAAGATGCTCAGATGCAAAGTAGTCTGTAGTTACAAAGATGGTCTTCCAGCTAGCTAGCTTCAGCTGAGAGATGATTTCTCCTTTAATTGGAAAAAGAACAAGCAATGTAATAAAGCTGTCAGCCTATGGAAACATTTCCTTGGAATGAAAATGTGTAATTGAAGTAAGAAAAAGGAGTCTGATCTCTGCCTAAGGTGCCCTGTCTGTGCTGGTTTCGGACAGAGCTGTCACTGATTGCATCCGCTCTGTGATTCGCCTTCTGTAAACAAGTGACATTTTCCCTTTTAACTCTCCCTGCCTCCTTTAAACCCCTCCCAGTTAATTTGGGAGCAGCAGCGGAAATCAGAACGGCAATTAGGAGGCAGACTGTGACCGAGTTCTGCAGTGTGCTGAGCCAGACAAGTCTGATGCAACTGCTTATTTATAGCTCCTGCAACCCGGAGCGCCCGCCCGCGTCAGGAACGCTGCTACGAGGGAAGGACACATTTTGCACATGCACTATGGCACAGGTAGGGCAGCTTGGAACAGGCTGCCTGCAGTGTTCAGCAAAGGAAAAGCCTTTGGAGATCCATGCAGCATGCACTACATCTAATGTGGAAATGCTGACCCAGAGCAGACAGAAGACAGCTCCCTTTGTGCAAAGTATTTCAGCTATGGCAGCGCAACGGAAGACCAGTATTTCTGGAAAGTTGGCACAACGCAGTCACATATTAGAGACGTCAAACCTCAAACGCCACTGTTTAAAAAAAGCATATATTTGCTTTGCTGCCCATGTCCTCCAGGCAACCACAGGACCACCAGGATACAATGACTCCGTATGCACAGACATCAGGCTAAGCAACAACTCATTTAGATACAGATAGATTTTCTTGTCTGGATTCAATTGTGCCAACCACAGAGGTCTCTGCCTTGCAGTGACTGCTTACTGCTCCCTCACTGGCTTCAGGCAAAGCAGCTTCAACAGTTTACATCCTCAGCCTCTGCTAATCCATCTGCAGAGAATTAGGGCAGTTCACATGAACTGGTCCATGCACACGGAAGCCTTCCAGCAGATAGCAGCGATAAGCAGATAACAGATACATGTTTTGACAGACTCAAAGCTAAAAGAGGATACCTGTCCACAGCTCAAACAAGCAATAAACTCAGACACAACCAAGATTCCCTTGCACCTTGGCATTTTCCAGGCAGAACACACAAAGAGCACTGCCAAGCACAGGCTGTAAAGCTCCATGAAAATGACCTAAGGGGTAGAAAACCTCCCCTATGAGGGCAGGGTGAGAACCAGGGCTGTGCAGCCTGGAGAAGAGCAGGCTCTGGGGAGAGCTGAGAGCAGCCTTTCAGTATCTAAAGGGAGACTGCAAGAAAGAAGAGGACAGGCTCTATAGTGGGGTCTGTTGTGATAGGACAACAGGAAAGATAGGAAAAGAGGAAAGAGGTTTCAAACTAAAAGAGGGGAGATTCAGACGTGATATAAGGAAGAAGTTGTTTTACAATAAGTGCAGTGAGGCACTGGCACAGACTGCCCAGAGAGCTGGTGGATGAGACACCCAAGGTATGGCTGGACAGGGATCTGAGCACCTGACTGAGCTGTAGGTGTCCCCTGTTCACTGCAGGGGATGTTGGACTAAATGGACCTTACAGGTCCCTTTCTATTCCAGTGATTCTATGATTTTATTCTGTGATGACATATCAGTGCCCAGATATAAAAAAACCAAACAGACTGAGTGTCTCTTCCTACCTCCACTTCTAGTTTTGAACACTAACGCAAACCCAGACAACAGAAAGCATGTGGCCTGACGTCCCACCTCCTCACCTGGCTATTTCTGCTATCTCTGCTGTCTGTGCCATGAAGTTGTAGGGGTCGGGATGGTCATCAAAGTCTTCGTCGTCATCTGTCTCTCTGCCATTGTGTTTCTGCTTGCCCAGCCCAGAGCCACGTATCCTCGGCGTCTGTGTGGCTGTTGAAGTATGGGAGCGTTTGTGTTTAGGGGAGCTGTGATTTGAGCCATATTCTTCCTCCGAAGTAGAAGTGTAATCTGAACCCTGCGGTCTCCGCCTTGATGCTTATAAAAAATGAATTGGTTTCAGACCAAGGAAAGTGAAGAATCACTACAAAAGGGTACAAAGGTAACACAACACTAGCCCAGGAACACAAAGGCAGGAGAGCTTCTGTGCAGGTTTTAAGTCAAACAGCACATTCTCAGAGCTTAATTCAAAGCTGAGCACTTTGAATGGCTCCCATCCACTATACTAATTTGGAGAGGGAAAATTCGAGTGCAAAAGCAGAATGACTGCTAATAGCTCCAATGCATTTTATTAGTATCACAGCCTTGGTTCTCCGTGCACAGAAGCTCTGTACGTAAGCAGCACACAGTTCAGACTCCTCACAATCCCACAGAAATCATTATCTGGAAGGAGCCCCATTTTCAAGCCTGTGGACACCTTACCAACTCTGAGAACAAGCAAAAGAAGATTTGCTTTTTTTTTTTTTTTTTTTTTTTTTTTTTTTTTTGAGTGAGGGAGAGATGCAATGTGTGGTTCTATTTGTCCGCACCTCACATTGGTCTCCTGCCTTGCCATCCCTGTTAATGACACCCTACAAAAAGCGCCCACATAGGCAGGCAGGCAAGACTGGCTCCAAGCCCTGCAGCCAAGCAGAGCACCCACTTGTCCCAGCCAGTTCTGAGATGATCCAGGTGCTCACTGCATGGCAAACATTGAGGTGCTCAGCAGTAAACTCCTTGCTTAAAAATGTGGCTCCCAGATTTTCCCCATCTCACTGCACTCCTCACAGATAGTGCTTCATTCCCTTCTGTCTTCCCTTGGAGAATGAAGACCAACCAGACACAAAGCCAGACAGGTTATTTAAAATTGCAACACCTGAAAGCTTCACTGTGTTACAAAGATTATCGTAATGCTAAACCTTTGAAAGTGAATGAAGCCAGCATCATTAATCATGCAAACAAAAACAATGAATTTGGCATAAAAGATGGAGATAGAAACTACAGACTGTTACCACATAGAGAGAAAAAACATGTTCCTAGACATTGTTATCTCAGCTATTTAAAGATCTTGGCTTGAGATTAAAAATATATGTATATACAAAAAAATAAATCAGCTCATATTCCACCAGCAGAAAGGTATTCCGCTTTTATATATATTAAAAAACAAGAATCAAGAGGTCACCTGTCACTGAACAGAGATTTCAAACACTAACGGCCTGATTTACCAACTCTATACACCAAGGGAAATCAGAATCAAGTCCCTTAGTACCATTCAAATTACCTTGAGCAAACAAACCAGGTACACAGAGGAGCAGGGGGGGGAAACCAATCCTTCTCTTTCTGAACTGGTAAGTTGGATTGTTCAGTCATTATCTGTGCTTTTCACACAGTTACTTTGGACTGCTTGACAACCTACTGACATCTCTTGTCCCCACAGCAGATACTTCATTCTGCTCCTCAGTGGGTGAGATTAACTTTCTCCCACCGGGATAGCTGGAAACCATAGCAGGTAGCTAAATGCTTTAAGAAACCCTTGAATCAATCAACTACATTTGCCTCCTCACTCCCAAGGCCTGAAATTTGGTATTTTCAAGGGTTATCGTGTCATGCTCAAAAACCTTTTGATAGAACAGGGCAACCTTTTGTTTTTGTCCCAGAAACGGGGCTCTGGGCGTTCATTCACAGTGTCTGTAACATAAGGACAGGAACATGCACCACACACCCGCTACAGCACTACAAAGCACGAGGACACCTACTTAGAGCTTGTGCAAGGTGCACAATCCTATCAAGGAATTAGGAGGTTAGTATTTTAAGAGCAACTAATTCAAAGGAAAGATTAGCGTCATCTGCTGCAACTGTGCACAAGGTGTTAGGATGCTGCTACAAAGCTCCGGAAATCAAAAACCAATTCATTTAAAAAACAAAAACCGGCCAGCTCTTATCATTTTTCTCCAAATGATTTGAAGTATGTGGTCCAAAGGCAGGGAGATGTGAAGAGTACCTCCTGTTCGGAAAACTTGGACCACGTCATCTTGATTTGAGTTTGTTATTGATTAACACAAAGTCAACAGTAGAAACATTTCAGAAAAGGCAGGAGAGAGACTGTACATACTAGCTTACTCACGTTCTGATTTACATGCATATATACATGTATAAGAAAAAAATTATTAAAATAAAGGGAAGCTGGATGTGCCAGAACAATTCAAAATCAAAACAAGCAGCAAATAACATTTTTAGCATGCAATAAAAATAAGCAGTGCAAGAAGGATGCTTATTTCAAGTGTATGAAAGAAAATGAACAGAACACATCCTGTACTCTGAAGAAACTTTATAAAAACACAGATCTGCTCAAAATAGCATTCCTTTCAGCAGGCCTAAGAAACACAACCAGTGGGGTTTGTCCTGTCCCACCCCAGTCATTCCTAAAAACCTGAGCACATCATCACACTTATGGTAGGTCAAGGAGTCTGGGCACAGAGCAGGGCTTAGACCAAAGGTGTAAGCAATATCTGGGACAGTTACCAATTGCCAATTACCATGCCAGAGCTGTCGTTTGCACTGTCCCCTCCCACCTCTTAATTAAAGGCGGATTTAAATATGACGAATGTTGATACTGTCAGTTTGTTCACAATGCTGCTGAGTGCACAGCTAAAGGGCAAGAGAGCCCCAAACATCATTCCTGTGGCTATCAACTGTGCATCTTTCTTACCTATGGCAAAGCTGCATGAAAGAACTCAGCAGAGGGAATCTCTTGGAGCAATCTAAGTCAAGTGTCCCATTCCACATTTGCCTTTACAGGAAGAACATGGTAACAACCTTCAAAACCCGTAGACATTTATCTGTTTTGCTGTTTCAGATGCATTCAAACCTGTTACCTTGGACATTAACTGTCATGAACAACATTACAAGCATTCTTGCAGCAAATTTCAAATCTTGGAAGTCAAAGAACTGATTTGGAAAGGCATTAAAGTCTATCTTTTTCAACAACAGCAGAAGGCTAACAGCCTCCTGCTAGACCGCAGCTGGTTGCTCAAGAAATGAAGTCAAGGACAAAAAAAGCCAAACCGCTGTTTGCAATACCCTCATGGACAACAACCCATTAACATCTCCCAGGGTATAGAGCTGCTCTGTTGACTCCAAAGCCCTTTGCCCAGGAAGCATTGCAAACGCTGCACTGTCCAGCCTATAAATCTGAAAGGCAATACAAAAAGGCACTTACTGGAGGTGGAGGAATACTTGACACTGCTTGAGCGGGTCCTGCTGAACGGCTGCTTGGCAGAGGCAGCAGCTGCTGTTTTCCTCGCTGCAGCTCGGATCTCCGACACAGTCGCCTTCCGATAGGACTCCACACTCCGGCCAGAAAACCCCGTCCTTGACTGTGCTGTCTCAGAGTCACTGGGCACCGTAAATGAACCTGCCCGCTTCCGCGGCATGGCGAGGATGTCAAGCCGGGACAGCTTTTTTGTCTCTGTGGACTGCTTGGAGCCCGGTGCAACAGCTTCAGGGTTGGAGGCTGTTTTCTCAGCATCAACACACTCGTTGTCTGAAGCATCTCCCAGCCGGGCACGACGCAGCTTTGAGGCCCTCGTGGGCCGCGGGGTGGATAAGCTGTTGGAGCGGGTGAGAACTTGCTGGATCTTCTGCACATTTGCCGTTGCTTTGCTGTGATCCTCCTTGGCAGCCTGAGTAAAAGGCTTCCTTCTGGGAGCAGGTCGGGGCACCGAGTGCTCGTGGTCAGACACCACTGCATCAGGGACTGGCAGGTAAGGCAGACTCGAGCTCCTCTCATCATCTGTGAAGTCAAGTGACCCCCGAGTCCCAGCACTCCGCTTCATTTGGAAGCGCTTGGTGGCCTCCACAGACCTTGGAGCCTCTGGCACGTTGGCCTTCCGCTTCTCCGTCAGCCTGTCCCGTGCACTGGGCTGCCCGCACTGGTCCTGGATTGATGGTGAGGAAGAAGATTTCTCCTTCTGCAAGCTCGCCACTGCTTTGCGTTTTGGGGCGCTTGTGGGGACGTTTTTGCCGCTCACCAAACTGACCGTGCTGGCTGTGTCCACGTCTGAGTCACCGGACAGGGAGTCCTCCAGCTGACCAGCAGTTTCCGAGGGCTCCAGCTTTTGGTTTTGACCAAGTAATTTGGCTTCCAGCGCCGCCAAGGCAGTTTCAGTGTCCTTAAGAAGAAGATGAGTGTCCTGTCCAAAGTCCATGCGGTTTGACCGAACAGCCTCTAAATCTTTGAGCAGAGGGTGACTTGAAATATGAGGAAGCTTGTTTTGAGGAACAGCACTGCTTGATTTATCTTTGGTAAAACTTTCCTGCCTAACAAAAGATATTTCCTTTCCTGCCATGTTTTCCTGATCTTGATGAATGGAAATAACCATTTTTCCTGCTGTGTTAATGTAAGCGCTGACATCTTTGCCCAAGGGCTTTCCAGGAACAGGCGTGCCAGTAGACTTGAAGGAAAATTCCTGTTCCTTTCCCTCTCTGTCAGCTCGAGCATGGGCCACGCTCAGAGAGAGCTTGGAGGGAATCCCCACATCGCTGCTGTCGTCACCAATGTAGAACGAAGTAGAAACCGTCTCACTCACAGCTCTCACATTTGCAACCCGGGGGGCTCCCGGCTGCCGGCTCTCTGATTTTGTGTCTTCCCCCATCTGCTCTAGCATTTTATTGTTCTCTTTATACTTTCTGCCTTTTTCTGAGCTGAAGCCATCATCAGATCTGCTGGCATCGCTGAGGCTATCTGGATCTAAGTCTTCCTGAATGAAGAGGCGGCTGCTGTGATCGCTGTAGGCTTCCACGCAGTGATCCTTCACAATGGTTCTCTTCGTAACCTCAGAATAGGACTCCTGGCAGACCAAAACTGTGGGTGTGGGGCTCTCTGATTTATCGCTTGGTGGAAGCTGGGGAAGAAGACGCCTTGTTCTCAAGGGCACAGCATTTTCAGGTTCCCCAGATTTTGGGGCTACACCATTTTCTGAAGGGAGTTAAATGGACACAAGTCAACTGCTGTACAACATGTTTCTTTTTTTTCTTTAATTAAGAGTTTGATCCTGCAAAGTGCAAGGCCACAAAAGCACACACAAGTTGAGCTCAGAACTAAGGCTGTACAAAATGAACACCAATAGGGCCAGGCTTCTGCTCAGTCCCTGCAAGTTTATCAATTAAAAAATACTCAAGGTAAAGGTATACTTCCTTGCTGGATCAGACTACTCAATACTTTCCCTCTCGGTCTGAAATCCTGTCTGGATATTTTCCCATCATCTACCTCTCAGTACAACCACAAATGTTTAAAGGCCATCCTAAGAGCATGCTGGCACTGACCTACCATAAGATCAGGAAAACAGGAATGACACGAAACACTATCAGCCAAAACACTCCAATAGTGCTTTAAGTGCCATTTCACACAATGTAGACCATAAGACGAAATAGGTGGTGTTTCTCCTATGATCATATCTCACAGCAAAGTCTCAGGAGAAAGATGCTAATAATGAAGAAACTCTGAATAAGAGCTCACTGCTCCAGCATAGGTGCTCTTGTCAGCACAAAAGAACTTCATAGAAAGACGACTCTTAATTTTTCCTATGCTGGTCAGATGCTGGGCAGGACTTCTTATCTTATCCTGCTTTTAAATACCTGGATGACTGGTTAGATGGCTATGGTAATACTGCAAATGCTCTGGTTCTCGCATGGGGTGAAAACAGTGACAGTAACATCCAAAATAAAGGTTCCTTCTAAGCTTTACTCAGTCTATCTGTAGCTGTTGATGACAAAGGTAACAACAAATATTCCCAACAGCAACAAAAAGTGAAAGCATTTACAGAAGCCAGCAAAGCTCTGTTCTCATTTTCTCACACATCAACAGGACCTGGGGGTTTGCAGGCTGTCTTCCTAACTGCAATGAGAACCTGACCTCCTCTTGTTTACCTTTTTCTCTCCATTCTGAGTATTCTATGCTTATCTCCACATTTCAAACCTGCCATTAGACAAACCCCAGAACAACCTAAAATTCTCAGCATAGCCAGACACGGGAGAAACACACCCAAAAAAGAACCAGTCAGCAATTAGGCTCCAGGACAACTTGCAAAGTCTGTTGGTTTTTTTTTTCTGGCATCGTAAGGCAGTTTAAAGAATCACCCAGGGCTAGTTAACACCCAAGGCCTTTACAACCTTTCTGTTTCCCATGTGCCTTTTAGTCATGCCAAATATAACACCTAAGAACTTCTTGGATGACTCTGAAATGCAAACGAAAAGCACTTTCTATCTTCAGTCCACAGGGAACGATTCACTCTGTCCTTCCCACCCTCAATCAACACAACATAAAACAGAAAATAAACCGCAGCCAGACACACGGAAGGCCATAATTCCTGTTTTTCTTATCATCCTGATTTAGATTCAGCCACCTCCAAAATGTAACATCAGGATGAGACTTACCTGGAGCTCCGTCAGCTTGTCCTGAAACAGATCCAGAGTCAGAGTAGCTGTCAGCAAGACTTGCCCACCTTGACACCCACTTCTGACTTCCTTGAGATGCTGCAGACATCTGCAACAAGGTGGGGATGTGGCATCAGAAAGACTGCCTGCAAAACACAGCCACTCAATCTCTCCTCTCGTACACACACCACCCAGTCTGCTCAAAATGGAAACCGATTCATGCATCACCTTTCCATCCATCCATCCAGAAAAATCAATATTCACCAAGCCAACAGATCCATCTAGACTGCCCATACCTGCATGTCAGCCTGAGACCCACTCGCAGCTTTTGAGGCAAATGCCTGGAGCAAGGGTGACTTCTGACAAGTGCCATTTTCACTGACTAAATGCTGATGAGAACCAGAGTCGTCTTTTTCACCTTTTATTACTGGTCTAAAAGCTGATGATATTCTGGAAAATTCAGGCGACTCAAGAACACCAAAAACCTGAAAAAATGTTTACATAGGAAAGATTGAAACAGATAAAGAAATCTTAGCCCAAATTCCAATCCACAAAGCGTTCTCCACACGCCACCCATGATTCCAAAAGGCCAGAAACACTTGCCAATCCTTCCATACAAAGTGAGAAAACTACTCCCTTCTCTACTTTGCAGCTTTAAATACATTTATTCATAGAATCCCACTCACACCTGCCACATTGTTTTGGTGCGCTGCATTTAGCAGTAGTAGCTTTCACTGACAGAGCCCCTTTTCAGCCCTGAGAAATTTAGAATGAGGGAAAGCTATTTACCATCTAATTCATGGAAAATCAGGGGAAAAAAAATGGAAAGAATGGAAAAAATGGAAATCTCCGGGGTCTTTCATAGACTGTAGTGGAGATTGGGGTGAGAAAAAGTAGCCTTACACAGCCATGAAGGGATCTGGGAATGAATGTATTGCCAAGACAGGTAGTTAAGCTGGGTGGCCAGACTCTTTGGAGATAAACAGCTTTCCTATGTGGGCAAACAAGATCTATTCCTCAGAAAGGCTCGTTCCTCTCTCCTGACTATAGATTCAGAGGCAGATGCCACCATTGAGGGTATCCAGGTTTGGGCAGACTAAAATTCTCCATTCTCACTTCCATTTAAAAAATAAAAAAGTATGTATGTGGGTCGCCCCAGAATCTCAGCAAATCAAAATCCTGATCATCTTTCTTCCTGGACAAAAATACAGAGGTCTGGCATGAGATATTTCCCAAACAGCAGATCTACACCACATTAAGTCCATGGCAGTCATGAGCAGAGTTCGGCCAGCTCGCCTGCCCAAGGAACAAGCCTGCCAAGCTACTACCCAGAAATAATTCTATTTTTGTGTTATTTTCTTTGTATTTCCTTTTCAGAGCAATTAACCATCATGTCAGGACTAGAGCCTTCCTGTGGCTGAAATAACCTGCCTCAAAAACTTTCAATCACATTTCAAACAAGACATAAGGAAGAAGCATAATAAACAAATGAGGGAGGCCAGATCTAGGCTCACAGAACACCACACAAAGCTCTAAACGCAGGTTCAGGGCTCCCTTTAAACCTCACTCCATCCTTCTGCCCACGCTTCACTAACTCTTCACAGCAACTTGCCAGTTTTGTTTTCATAATAGACCGCAGATGAAAGTTAAATCTGAAGCCAAACTTTGGCTTGCCCTGGGGTTGCTTAGTTGGGTGGGTTTCATTAAGCCTCACCCTCATTATTTTTTGTAAGGCTATCATTCACCTTGCACAATCTAAACAAGTATAGATCCATGTAGGATTGCCTCTACCCTAGACCACACCCTTTGCTACTTCAACTAGCTGCCACTTGCCCTGCAAGGAAGGAACGTTTTCCTAACGAAGCCACGCTAAATGCATAATCACCTACCACAAGCCATGAAGACAATCAGCCCATGGCCTGCCTTTCCTCTGCCTACAGATTGCAGCGGCAGCAATGGGCTGCAGCTCCCATAATCACAACAGTGCTGATATAAGGCCAAGAAAGAGTCCTTGGGAGCAGAGCTACTCCCAGCCAAGCACTCAGCAGGATCAGTCTGATCTCAATACTGCTGGTGCCTTTCCCTCTAAACATATGGCAAGCCCACTTGCAGTTTAGCATTCAAATCTCATTTTTGGAAGCAAGACAGCTCCTTGCTGATGGCTTACTTTACTTTCTTGTATCCAGTGAGGTTTTTTTTGTTGTTTTTGTTTTTGTTTTTTTTTTGAAAGACTAGCTTCAAAGTTCGTTGACATCAATCCTTAACACAGGTCAGCCAAGATGATTTCTCACCCCTTTATAAAGGCCCTCTGCACCCAAGCAATAAAGGGAGCAGCCCTTCATGGCAACTGCTAGTAAAGCTGGACCCATCAGCAACAGCTGCATAAGCCCTCAGCTCACAAACCAAGCACAGAAAAGCAACATTTACCTGATCAATCATTTTTCGTGCTTCCTCCACCTCTTTATCCTGTGACTCTGTCTCAATGGTGTACGTGCCAGTCTCACTCACACTGTCTTCCTCGTCGTTCCTCCTGCCCTGGGCAGCCTTTAGCTCTGGAGATGGAGCAGAGGCAGGCTCTGGCTCTGAAGATATGACCACACGTGGGGCTGCCGGCACAGGCTGAGGTGCTGGTTTCTCAGAGCCTGCCTTCCCAGTCTGAGCCGTCTCCCTCAGGTACTCAGCCATAAAATCCTGAGCCATTTTAGATTTCCTCCCAACGCTCCCATAAGCTCTGCCTGATGCTCTGGAGGCAGAGGAGGATGAAGAGTTGATTCGCTCCTCTGTCTTTTCCCTCTTGAAGGAGCTAGCCCTTTGGGTCCCAGAGGAGCTGCTGGTGGCTTTGCCCCCTTGCGTCCCAGCGTGAGATGGTGGCACCGCGCTGCCCTGCTTCTCCGTTGGCACCGCGTTCTTGCGTTTCTCAACCTTGGTCTTGAGCCCAGGATCGGTGTCGCTCTGAGAGGAGTGAGCACTGTGTGTGAAGGACTGTGAGCGCTTCTTCCTTGGCGTGTCCTCAAAGAACTCAATGACAAACGCCTGCTTGTTGTGCAGCATCTCGTGGGGATCGCGCCTCATCTGGCGCTGTAGCTTGGCTTGCTCTGTCACCCGCTCACCACCCGTCGTCGGCTCCTTCTCTGCCTTGGGTGCCACGGGGTCTTCCGAGTCGCTCTGCGTCCCGTCCTCGTGCCGATTGCCTGGGAACAAGTGGTGCGTATTTGACTTTCATGCTCTCAGACTCTGTGACCCTGTCACTACCTTCTGATTTCAGTCAAAAGGTAAGAAATCCTATAGGAATAAATAACTCCCAAGGACATCTACTATGCTACAGGCTTTGTATTCTTCAGGGAGGAAAAAAAAAGAGAGAGAGAGAGAAGAGAGAAGGGTGCTGTCTCCCAATCAACTTTTCACTGGTTGGCTATCAAACTGTTGCAAAATATTGCAAAAATTCATTGTAACAAGGGATTTTGATTTTGTAAAGCAGATTATTTTAGAAACATAATGTGTTGTTTCTTTTCTTTCTGGCATTTAAGTAAAAGCAATGACGCTGTTTCATGTTTCTGACCATTACTGCAGAACAAAATGAGGTGATCTTGAACTCTTAAGTTACAGAGCAGAAATCTCTGCAGAATCAGTAAATAAACCCTGTGCACTGCATCCCACAGAACCAAATCCCAGTGACGACAAAGCCACCAGGTCAGCATGTTATGAGCGAATGTGCCTCCCAGCAGCCACGTTACCCCTCTCTACAAGGAGAAATAAAACAACAGCTAATAGAAAAGGGATCACACCATCCAATCACCAGCCACACAAACGTTAAATCATTCTAAGCTTACTTTAAGCTTATCCTTCTTTTTACGTATGTTACTGACCAGCATCTTCACAAGCTTCCTTTTGTATCAGGGATGCTCTGCACCTCAGCACCTTAGTTTAGGACCTTCATAGAGTATGTTAAAACAAAACAAAACAAAAAGACCGAACACAAACCTTTTTTTGGAGAAGGAAACGGGTGTGAAGACACACAACTTGATTCAGTCAACGACCGGGAACCTGTCATCGGGAGAATGGGGAAAGAGGTCTCTGCGCTCTCGACTGTAACATGCAGCAAGATATACTGGCTAAAATACCATGTGTTTGAAAGGAAAACTGCTCAAACCTACTTTGCAAGTTCTCCAGGCACAGGATGAAGACCATTTATTATCTCAAGTTAACTGTGAAAGATTAGAATTTAATACAGGAACCATGCAACCCAGGAGTCAGTCCTCTGAGGAGTTTCCTAACACCTTCCTGAAGAAAGCCAGCAGACTTTGCATTGTGCCTTGAGGTTGATAAGCCTTGTCTTTGCATGGCAAAGCTCCTAAATTAAAGGGTCTTGGCTAACACCCTGCTGAATGCAAAACTGTGAGGATGCAAGTAAGAGACAAAAAGTGTCTACAGACCCCTCAGCAGAATACCACGCACATCCCCTCAGACCTGAACTCCCTATCCTCAATACTAGGCTTTACATACATCACATTGATAATAAATGGAACAAATGTTATTAAAGAACACCAAACAGGGTCTGTCTCTGATTCAGAAGGTGCAAACCTGGTAGGCAGCCAGCTGTAGCCTCCAAGACATCTTCAAAATTAGCCCCACAAGAAGAACATGCTACACAACTATCGCAGATAAATGACAGGCTGTCCTCTGACAAAGCAGAGGTAGATAAACTCCTGAGGCCACCAACACTGTATTTTTTAATCAAATGTCCAAATAGTTAATTTTTTGAAATGCAAATTATGCATTAAATTACCTCAGCTTCTTTCCATGCCTTATGGACTTTAAAGCGTGGGCAGCCTGATACCCTCTCATGCATTGCCCAGGACAATCCTAAGAAGAGCTGCCTAACTCTCTAGTTTCTCCCAAGAGAGAAAGTAGAGTGACAGAAGCACATCTGAATCCCTGCCAGACTATTCTTCAGCAAATCAACAAACAAACAAAACCCATACTTTCCATCAAACACTCAAGACAATGCTGAAAGCTCAGACAGGCCACCTCAATATTGTCCTATATTAGAAAATCATAGAATTATAGAATCACCAAGGTTGGAAAAGACCTAGAAGATCATCCAATCCAACCGTTCACCTATTACCAATAGCTCCCACTAAACCATGTCCCTCAACACAACATCCAGTCTTTCCTTGGACACCCCCAAATAATGATATCAAAACAGTGCAATTCCCATGTCATGCCAAATTACATCTGGATAGTTGAGACCCTCTTAACTATATGAGCTTCTAAAAAACCATACGCAAGAGCAATAAGTTGGAAGCACAATAGATAAAACTCTCCATATTGAAAGAGAGCATTTCTCCAACTCTGAACAAATATTCCTTTGAGGGAAAACATGACTGTTCTCTATAAAACGACCTCAAGCACAGGTAGGTCTGGTAACTTTCAACACGGCTTCAACATTCCAAGTCTGCAGATTGTAGTAATGCACTTGGCAAGGCTGGAAAAGCTGAATACAAAGGCAGTGTGAATGCAGGAAACCATGGTCTTTTCTTCACTTTTCTGTGCACAACTCAAGAGAGGCATCCAAGCAAACTCAGATCTCGACAAATGCATTCACAGCCACCTGAGAGTCATGCAACTCCCATCATCTGCACTAAGAACTGTGTTCAAAACTACATTTGAAAATCTCCGAAGAATTCCTTGTAGTTAGAGTTTAACAGCATCTAGGTCCACAAAACTTGGCATTTTTGAACAGAGAAGTTCTAGTTTAAGAGAAGAAACCTTTCACAAACACAATTTCCTCCACTGGTGATCATGCATATCTCAGGTCTATTACCAATCTCTATGTCAAGACCTCCGGTCATCAGACCACGTGGTTCTGCTAATTGCATGATAATTCCAAGATACATCACACTCAGAATCTCCAGCTAAAAAGAAAAGTCTTTCAGACAGGAGAAGCCAAAAAAAGAAAACTGACTATATACCTGTGTTCACTAGCCTGCCGGACCACATGGAAATGACTACGAACACTTAAAAACAAACTCATTTTCTCAATCACTGCCACTTACCCTCTTTAGTATGTTGCATTTGCACAGTCAACAGAGAACACTGTCCACATAACAAGACATTCACTCACCTTTAAGTGTCTTCACATGAACTGGCAGGTCACTCTTGGTGCTGTACACATCTTCCCCTGGAGACTGCCGTCTAATCAAGCTTGGGTCATTCTGGACAAGCCAGTCAGCCACCTTGCTCTCCGCTGACATCACCTCTGTGTGAGCTGGTTCCTTGATATAAGGTCTTCTCTGCCTGAGCGAAAATTTAGTTACGTGATCTTTGATCTTTATTTTACCAGGGGTTCCATCATCAAATTCGATGGTGAAAGAGGCATGGCTCTGCACAACTGGGGCTACTATGGCATCAATATCCTTTGTTGGGATCTCGTGAACCTGTGTTTCTGGAGATTTTGATGGCTGCTGAAATTCTTTAGTTGGGATCTCAAAGTAACTTGGCTCCCTCCGGAAGGCAAACACAGACTGTTCTTGGGAATCTCTATAGGAAGAAATATTTCCATTCAGTTCCTCTTCATGCTGGGTCATCTCTTTTGATCTTTCTACAAAAGGAAAAAAACAAAAAAAAACATTATCTGAAGTACCTAAAAGAAAAAACAGCAGTTCTGTTTTGTACTCTGGCCTCTTCACTGAAATAAGTGATTTCCAATGACCAGCATTTCTCATATTCACTTTACCCTTACTCCCATTGTTCCCAAAGAGTTAAATGCAAGTGTGTACATACACACATACATGTTGGCAGAATCTATATGATTGGTGGCATTTCAAGATTTTTGCATGCCTTTCTCATACATACTAAATTACTCCACAATTGTTTTTAACCTTCACTTACTGTAGTGGAAACAACTTAATTTTCCCTTACCCTGGTTTCATCAGCAGCAATCTATGCATAGACGTGCAAATACAAGAAGTAAAAAAAAAAAAAGTGGTAATTAAAGCCCTAAAGCAGGATGACTTCACACAAGAAAGATAAGAAATGCACAGAAATTTTGTCACCTTCCACCCCCATTCTTTTCCTCACAAAATCACCTTAATTACCTGAGTAATGCTCTTCTTGCCTTCTGTCCTCGTTGTTTGCATCATCCTCCCCCCACCAGGAAGGTTGCCCATAAAGAGGGGTGCGATAACTATTGGTCTCTAGGAAGAAGGTATTCACAGAAGTCAAGCACATGCCAAAAGGGGAAAAATAACAGGATCAGATAAGATCATGTACCTGTTACACTGCAGCAATTACAACAGCAAATTATACATAATAATGAGAGTGTTCAGCTTTATTCCTTTCCTTTTTCACTTCCAGCCAGAAGAGGCTGACTCCACCTCCCTTCACTCTTTAGTAGCTGTGATCCCCAAATACTGGCTTTTCTCCCTCTCCAGACTCATTATTCACAGGAAGTGGAAGATTTTTAGCAGGACAGACTACAAAATACCAACCACAAACTTATTTGCAATTCAGGTGAAAATCGGTCTTTTATCCCGATCTTAATTAGGAAGATTTTAGCTATGCCCTTTTTTGCTCCACCACAGACTAGGATGCTGTCAGGCCAGGGATTTTCTCCAGCTATTCACTCCTCCCACTCTAAATGACACACATCCCACAGCAGGAAATTCTTGAAGAGTTACAAATTTAGGGAAAACAGTAAAACCATCTCCTTACACATACATAAAGCAGAAGTAAACTCTTGCTCTCAAAAGCATAAAGTCAGTCAAGTGGCTCACACAGTCACTGCAGGACAGAGATTTTTTTTCTCACGGAGTTATTTCTTCCAGAAGAGCCAGACTTCAATCACTGTCTCTACTCAAATAGCACTCACTGAAGATCAGCAGTTCTTTGCACCAACAGGTACCGGAAAGAACTGATTCACCTCTTCTTCCTTTGTCTACCATGAAACACTGTATTTCGGCACTGCCTTAGGCTGCTCCGTTCATGTTTCCAGTAAAAAAAGAATACAGCTCAATTTACCTGTGGTAATAGTCATTGTTATTTATAATAGTTTCAGAGAGGCAAATGAAGTAGCTTTTCTTCTTTCAACTAGAGGTGATAGAGATGCAAGTACAGGTTGGGGACTGAGATTAACATCCCAGTTTTGCTCACTCTCTCCATCAGCACTCACTTTACTGAACAAGCCAAAGCCCAGCCACCAGCCCAAGCAACTGTTGGGCTCCTACCACCAACTGCTGCTCAGCTCGTGGCTTTATAATCACCTTCTGCCTGTGCCAAGCAGGCCTCACACACAACCCTGCCACTCTGCATTCCCTGCTTTAATAGGGCTAGCAGAGACAGCAGTTGGTGGCATGAAGGAAATGAGGAGGGGAGGGGAATTAAGAGTCAAGGAAAAAAAAAAGAAGCCCGACTTTATGTTGCTGTTTATAAAGCTGCCCAGACCCAATGGCCACTGCCTAAGGTTTTTTTTTTTTTCTAGGATAGTTCCAGAAATGTATAAGCTTGTACTTTATCAGACCACAGGCAAAAGTTTTGCTGTACAGATCCAGTCCACAGGACCTTTTCAAGAGATTTTCATAATTCAAAACTGAACGCACTGCTTCCCTTCACACCAAGGATCAAAAGAGTTGAAGTATTACTCTCTGTTCTGCCTAGAATGTGCAGAAGATAAACTGTGTTCCCATTATGCAGGCAGCCCTTGAAAGTTCAAAGCAGGAAGCATTTCTCACCATGAATAAATTGCAACTGCCAAGCAATGCGTGTCATAGCTGAAAATGGGTAAAATACTCCAGGAAGAAGGGGAAAAAAGCAACCAACCTATTCAGAAACCTGTGAGAGGAGAGGAACCCAAAAGGCAGGTTTGGGCTCTGTTAGGCTAAGATCTGTCCTGCAAGCTGACAGAGAGCTCTCAACCACTCTTCAGACCCATGGAGCAGACCCACATCCCACATCCACATGGGATCTGTTGTGCCCACTGCTTTCAGGCACACTCTTCAATGGATGATCACCATCTCCACCAGGGGCTTAACCCCCAAGAAACAAAGGACACTTGTCTCAGATTTGTATGATCGAATGTGACCAGTTCAATACTGATTTCTTTCCAGTTGCTAGTGGAAATGCTTAGTTTTCACACGGGCAGAAGCTAAGACAGCCCACTATATACTCCAGGACAAACCTTCCCAGTTGCTGCTCCTTACATCTGTGGGACACAGGTGTTACTACTGCCTTTTACTGCAGGGGAGAAGGCAGCTAGGAAATTAGGTCAACTCTGGTCAGACCCTCCTGCTGAGGGAATTTTGGGATTGCATGTAAAGCAAAAAATGATTAAAAAAAAAAAAGAATTTACAGAGTAACAAGCCACTTTTTCTACTGTCTCAAATTTCCTCCACTAGCCTAAAAAGCCCTAATAGGTGCTTGGAAATTCCCCAAATTCCCTTTCTGACAAAAGCCAGCACAAGGCCAAACCCAGCATGCTTGTGGCTGGGCAGAGTACACAGGGTTCCAGCAGGGCAGGAGCCACTGAGAACACGCCCTGCACACACTGCTCTGAGGGCCACGACATGAGGCTCCCAAGCCCCACCAGCAACAATCTGTAGCAGTGTGTTCAGTGCAACCCATCAGATCAGTTATTTTCCCTTTCTCCCCTCTCCCAGCCACCACAACAAACTGAAACTCCATTTTGAAGACTGCAAAAAGCACAGATGGGAAACCAGGGAGTCAGTACCTTGCTACCGGAGGGCAGTTTCAATATTTTAAGAGCAATTAATGTTTCTATGAAGCCTTCATGTTAATGTGCTTTTTGATTAACATTATTAAGTGATGCAGACACCCTCTTTCTCAACTTCTGCTATACATGATGAGATTCTGAGCCAGAAGAAAATATTCATGACTGGAGAAGAGCTCCATGAATTTGCTGCCCTGCTCATATCAGAGACCACAGCCCCTTCTTATCCTCCAGCAGAAGTGCCCTGATGCCTTCCTCCTGCTCCACCATGGAGCTGTACAGAATGGGTAGGAGACACAGGAAGGCAGCTAAACAGATGGCAGTGACAGGTGCAGGCCAGGTAGCAGCCACATATGCAGTGGTGCTGCAGGCTACCCACTGCCAGCTGGGATGCGTTTTGGGTAGCAGCCTTAACCTGGACCAGCAGCACCCAGAGCAGCACATCTGCCTGTGTCCTGAGCCCCACATACTGCTACATGGCCTCAGCCTGCCCGATGGATCTCGGTGTGAGCTGGGAGCTCTTAGATGCACAGAGGCTCAGGGCTTGATCGAGTTAGCAGTGAAGCAAGGAAGGCCAATGAGAACTAACAGTCATGTTAATGATATGAGATTTCCTCCAATTGATGGCAGCTCGTTACCACCTCTTCTCGATCCTGTGCCAGGCTGGCCAGATGGTGCCAATTCATTTAGATATATTCCTTGGCTCATCAATTCAGGCAGACAGCCTGAAAACCATCTTTTTAGATAACTGAATTGAGGTCAGCACAAGCGTTCAGCCAGGCACACACACAGCTACGGGTGACAGCGTAATACAGGGAAAGCACTGACATGCACACATTCTGCTCCTGAATTTCAGTCTTAGGAGCAGCCACTCAGAAGGAAAAATGAATGGATGCCCACATGTTTTTACAACTCTAAACTAATACAAAACTATCGATCATCTGAAAAGGCTCCAGAGTAACAGAGAATGAGTTGCTTCAATGCAAAGGATGTACTTAGAGAGAAGTGAATCACAGAGAACAACACAAGGGCAGGACCAAAAACAGAGTTCAGGTGATGAAAGGGAAAGCAGAAAGTCTGCATTAATGCTGCTCTCCATCAGCAAATGGGCAGAAGAGCATCCACGATGAGCACAGCTCCTACAGTACCAGTCTGATGGCCTCTGAAAGTGGCTGCCAGGCTAGGACAAGAATGAGGGCTGCGCTCTGCCTGGGTCCACACAAAGCTTCAAGCAGTCTCTAGAGGGACAGACAGCAACAGCAGATTTCAATGCTGACAGAAGCACACGCAGCTTTGAAGCTGCCTGCAGCAAGTCAGAACACCAGCACGAGAAATCCAGCTTGCTCTAAGTCAAGCTGTTTTTGATTCATTATTAATAAGGTAAACATCCATCTCTGGAAGATGCAGAGTGGGCTTCTTAAGGCAAGGGCCTCAGGGAGAAAAAAGGAGAAAAAAAAAAAAAAGATGATCTAGCTTTAAAATATTTTAAAAACTAATTTCTGACATCTCTGCTTTTTTCCTCCTCTTCAAAATACAGAATTGAAACACAACAGGAACAAACACAAAACAGCTCTTTGGCTCTTCACTGCAGTGCTTATTTCGTGCGTGCAGCAGACCTAAATTCAGGACTTTTGTACCTACTGTGAGCGCACAAAAATCCCGCAGGCTTTCAAATCTGGCTGATAATCATAAATTTATTTGTACCAATTACACAATGAAGCCTTCAGCATGCTGCAGGTACCACCAAACTAGCACAGATGAAAAGCAGATACACCACTGCTCTCCTACATTAGAGGCAAGGGTGAAGCTGTGTGCCTAACTAGCTACAACCATGATCTCATGGGGAAAGCAGCTAAGGACCATGGAAACACTGCACAACCCGGCACAACTCCCACTGCTCCCTGCAGACTTCAGCATTGACATGGACAGGATTGGCAAAGGTGCCACTAACCCAGCAAGGAAGACTGTTCCATGGATCTCGGGAGAGTCTCAATTCCTGCTCCTGCAGCTGGCAATGCCCATCTCAGCCAGAAGCTGTGGGCAGCCTCCATGCCTGGAAACTCAGGCCTGCAGCAGTTATTCAGAAGTTAGTCATCAGCCTCTGCATTATCTAGTGCCATCAGCCTGTGAGGGCTTAAAAAATTACAGTAAGTTTAGATCAGCCTGTGCTGACAGCAGACCACAAAGTGGCTTATCTCATCCCCCACCTCGGCCCAGGTAGCAACAGATGGGGAATGCATGTGTTAGGTACAACTGAAGGCTGTACTTGGTCTCCTCATCACCTCAGGTTTTAAGCACCAGAGCTGATGGCCATTTTTAGTATTAACTAGCTGAACTGTGGGTGCTTTTCTAACTCACAGCAATATCCAACCACAGGCCCTATCAAGCTTCTTGCCTTAAAAACACCTCACAAAGACTGATGGTTTCCTGCTTACAGGCAACACACACCAAGAAGCTGAATGCTCAACAGCATAAAGAATAAATGGCTGAGCTGTTTCCAATTCCCTCTGCTGGATCTCTTTATCCTCACCCCCACACCTCCTCCCCTTTCTAAGCAGCTCTAATTGTTCACATTGTTTTGTTAAACCTCTTCCCTGAAAGCCTGCATTGCCTCTACCTCTTTTCCAGCCAGGCCCTGAGAAGAGATCCTTCTAAAGGCTTTTGTCACCCAGACCTTACTTTAATTAGTCAATGCAAATTCCTAAATACCTACGGGCTTAGCAAAACAGCTCTCTCCCCAAAGCCTCTTTCTGCTGCCATAAGCAAGCCCTCTCCTCCTAGGAACACAACGTTCCTCTTTCCACTAATCATTTAACTTGCAGCCACTCCTCCAAGCACCACAGAAAATCTGTGCATGTGTACAGCAGTAGACAAGGTGAATTAGTCACACCGCAGATGAAAAAGGAACCCACTGATCATTCTGCTCACGTGACAGAAATGCTCATGGGAGAGCAAGGCGCTGATTTAATGCTCAGGCTCTTTCCCCTCCTTCACAGGCTTCAGTCCAACTAGCAAAATAATTCCAACAAAACATCCTGGATTCCCCCACCTTTCAGCAGGTTAGCAGCACCTCAGACTTCTCACATCTGCCGTCAGCCCCACTGCATGTGGCATCCTTCATCACTAGCCCTCACAAAGTGCTCACAGCCTTTTTTTTCTTTTTTTTTTTTTGGCCTTGGACCTGCACTCACTACCAATGACAAATACACAATACATACCCATGAGCCACAAGATGAGAAATAGGTCACCCTGATGAAGTGTCACTCCATGCCTGACTTTGAAGATTTTCCAAAATATCAACCACTTATGGCATGTAGGTTAAAAACCAGCCAGTGTGTATTTTTGAAGGTGGCAAGAATAAAAAGGAGAATATTCACGCAACAGAGCAGCAGCAAACACAAACTGGTTCTACCTGGACCTCACAGACCAGCGAGAAGCCACATCTTCCAGAACACAGCATCCTTCACAGCACAGCTGGAGAGCTCTCCACCAGCGAGGTTCACCTCCTTTCACCCTCCACAGTGTCACAGCTAATCACCGACTTCATCCCTTTCAGCCCATGCTTGTGAGGCAAAGTCACAAATGCTCCCCCCTCGGGGTGGGGGGAGGGCAACCCACAAACATATCTAAATCAACATACAAAGGTTTTACAGTGTGAGAATAGCAGTCAAACACATAGGTGTGTGCATTTCCCTGCACAGCTGGAGGGAACAAAAACACAGGCAAACAGACGAGCGAGAAATATTACTCTGTTTTAGTATATGATGTCAGCTTAAAGGGACTTTCACAAAGACAATACATAGGAGATTAAGGTCAGCCAACCCACTCCAATTAGGTATCAAAACAGGCCTTAACGGATTTACCCAAAGTTGTACACATTTCTAGAAAGCTGCCATATCTATGAATAGATCACCTTTTCCCAAGATCCTGTCTTTGCCCATCACCTTCCTCTCCCTGCCCCTTCCTCAAACAGATCCATTCTGCACACAGACAGCTCCCAGTCACTGCCATTCTGGTAAGCAAGACTCCCCTCTGTCAGTCATCAGTTGTCAGGATGCTTTAGAGCCATATTTCTTCTTTTCATGTATCATCAAGATCGAGAAAACCACCAACTGACAACTGAGCCAAACAGGGAGAAGACATACCAGTACATAAAGGAGGTAGGAAGCTCAGAAGAGGGGAAAAAACTGCTGGGGATGTCTTAGCCCACCATGGGAGGGAACAGGGAGATGCAGGTATGAAAGAGGGTCTTCAAAGGAAGATAGCAGTGAGTAGAGAAATGTGCAAAGGAATAAATTTTTCCAATGGACGTGATGCAGCCAGGTAACAATGAACCTAAAGCAAACACCTCCCAGGTTCAGCAGTCAGTTTCAATCTCGCATATTGAGGTGTTAGGAAATACAGTAATTTAAGGCTATACAAGACTCTTTGCAACAAATCCCTTGCTGCCACTTCGCTTGCCTGTCAGTACCACGCTGCAGCAGCCATGAATCTTCCACTTTGACTCACCACCTCTGTTCAAACACCAGCTCATGATTAACAAAATAAAAATAGACCAGACAGGTGCCAAGGAACTCACCAAACCTGCTCAGCCCACAGGCTCTCTAGCATTCACAGCAACAAAACATGTGTGAACCACCATGCCAATTACGTTTTTTCTCCTAAAACTGGGAATGTGAAATACTTACAGGTTTAGACAGATGATCCTTTAGTACCAGCTTCTACACCGTTTAACTCACACCACACTTGATTCTAATCCAGTGCTGTGATCAAGCAGCACTTTGACTGTTGTGAATCTTGACTAACTGGTTCCTGAGCAATTACCTGTAATTGGCTTCCTCTCTCCTTTCTCCAGCTTAGTTTGTGGGGACTCAGCGTAGACACTGTGCTCCATGGGCTGCTCCACCCTCTTCATGGTCGTGCTTTTGAAATTCATCTGAAGCTGGCTGGTGTACTTCTCATGCTGCAGAGACATAAGGATAGCTGCAGAGTGCCCATGCAATCTGCATGGCAGCCTGTGGCAACGATAACCTCCCTTGCCCACAAATGTGACAATGCAAAGGCAAATGCTGTGGCTAAACTCTGTGACAAATGGGAAACACATCTAAGTGTCAGAGAGGCTTTCAGATACCTCATCTGGAAGACAATAAATGACAGTTACAGTCCGTGAGGTCACCGTAATGTAGCCCTGCAAAGTAGCTAATTACTTAAAGAGTAAACTAAGAACAATCAGAACTCATACCATTTTCCATCCAGAATTCAAATTCTGAAATCCCCTTTGTTCTTAAAGCAGTATTAGTTCTTCCCATGCCCCAACTGCATTATCTCAATTTTTCAGTAAAGGCAATTAAGATATATTTTAATTATTTCTCTCCAAACTCTCTCACCAGTGAGGAAAGCAATGAGCCTGCCTTAGAGCAGACTCCATATTAACTTGCGGCTTAGTAAATGGGCTAATTAAAAGTGGGTTTATTACAAGCAAATTAATAAGAGGGTGTACCCATCCAGATTACCCCCTGAGTAAAGTCAGTGATTCATTTACCCAGTCCTGGCTGTTACACTTCTGATCCTCTCTAAGTCCTAAATCTGAAACCAGGGCTAAGACGACAGCATCTGCTAGCCAACAGATGATGCCTGGCTCTGGGAGCTGAACTCAGCTCAACAAAGGCAGCCTTCCTGCCTCTGAGGGTTGCTTTTCTGCCTTACATTAGGAGATGCTTGTATATTTTATTCCTGATACTGAAATTTTTGTTTAAAGAACACTTTACTCTTAAGAGGACTGTCAGTAAGGAAGACTGTGGAGCTTGAAGGCAGAAATGAGATAATGGGAATAAATTAAGCAAAGTCCAATCTGCTGGAGGAAGTGTTACACTGCTGGTCAATGTCACCATGCTCAAGGAAAGGCAACTGCTCTCCACTCCCGGGGCAGAACTAATTCTGCTCTGCTTCACCCTGAAGTTAATGCACTGACTATTCTTTAACACACTATGGCTTTAGTAGCCTTTCTGTTGGCTGCCACAAGGTCATACATAACTTGATCTAAATGTTAGCAGCAGAGTAAGAGAGATCAGAGACAAGATAACTGGGAAATGCATCTGCCATCAAAGCAGGGTTTTGGCAAGCCTCAATCCAAGGACAGCATAACAACGTGGAACATTTTGTCGCTGTATTTTAAAACTTCAGGCAGCACGATCATTACTAGAGCACCAAAAGGAACAACACCTGCACCCACACACCCTTTGTACCCACACACCCTTACCTTTAACGCTTCTTCTGGGACCTTGTGTTGAATTTGCTCCAGGACATACATGTTTGAATGTTCAGACCTTGTTAAGGAAACACCAAAGGAATCGGATGCAGAGAGAAATCTAGTGTTTAGTCATAAAGAAAACAGCATAAAATAACAACGAGAGGTGCTGAAAGCTGCCTCACTTGCATAGCAAGACAGTCTTTGATGTGTGTATTTTGGAATAGAGGGTGCAACTGTATTTTCTGTCAGGACCCAATTGGAGAGTAGCAAGCAAGAGGAGCAGTGAAGGAGCTCAGGGGAGCATAAGCAGCTTGGTACAGGATGAGGGAGCAAACAGAGCCCTGGCTCAGCTTGCAGCTTGCTCCCAGCTCCCCACAGCACCCTGGCCAAGACAGAGCAGACTTGCACAGTCAAAACAAGGCAAGGCCTTCCATTCAGGAAACAGCAGTGATTGAAAAGTAAATCAGGTCATGAGCTGCTGTGACCTCTATGGAAGGGAAGCATTCAACATGTCTGAACCTAGGCAAAAATCCCCAGCTACGCTGTGAAAAGGAGAAAAAAAAAAAAAAAAAAAAAGTAGAAAGGAAGCATCTGACCATGGCATCACAAACAACTCAATCAGGACAGCACAGCACAAAAGGGATGAAAGCGGAAAGATGGAAAATGTTAAACTAAAAATAAACCAAGAGATACTGGCAGAGCATGGAGACTTCATGCAGTCTGTGAGTGCAGCTGTAAATGGAAAAAGAGGCAGCTCTTATGCAATAGAGTGCAGCTGACTTGGGAGGCCATGGGAGATGCTGCCATTGCCACTGCGCTGAACACGGTCAACACAGAAAACATTGCTAAAAAGCACAGCACCACAGCAGCAAAGGAGAGGAAGAGACTTTAATAGCTACAGCAATCATGCTGAAAAAGAGCCAAGTCTAAAACCTACATCCTCAAAAGCTTTCCACTTGAGGGTAATAAATTCTACAATTCATAAATGCAATCATTCATTTCACGTGAATAGCCATGTAAGGGCTGCAGGACTAAGCACTTAACTCAGCTGCTTAATGCTCAGAATTACTTTCTATAAAAAGTTTAAACCTGTATCACAGCCACTAAAATATAACCTCAAGGTCTTAAAAAAAAAAATAAAAATCTTCGTTCCCACCAGATCCAGAATTGCACATAAATCTGTTTAAGCATCCCTGCTGCAAGTGTTGCAGTTGAGAACTGAGGTACCTGTAGCCTGGCAAGAGCACAGAAGAGGCTCAGCCTTCCCTTACAGGTTCTGCTGGGCTCTAGCAAGGTCTGGAGTATTTCAAGGGCTAAAGCACAGCCAGGCACACATACTTTATCATGGATACAACAAAAGACACAAGAATGTGGCCTTGGGGTCAAGGATGCACAAGAGTTTTCCAATGAAACCTTTTTTTTTTTTTTTTTCCCCCCTACCCTCCTCTGTTCTCAGAAATGTCTGAGCTGTTTTAACAAATTTTTCTTGCAAAAGCAAGCAAGAAACCTGGAGAAGATGCTGTCTCATAATCCATCTTGAGTGGGTATGTCTGGCAGTTAGAAGAAACTAAAAAAAAAAAAAAGATTTAATAACACTAAAAAAAGGCAGCAGTCTTCTGTTGATCTACAGCAGTCAAACAACCACATCAGGATAAAAAGGAAAGGGATGAAGGCATTTTAGCAGACACCATCAGAACTTGTGCCTCTGTAAACAAAGCAGTAACATCAGCCTGGCCTTCCCCAATAGAGATGACATTTGCTATTGCTAAAGAGAGTTTCGTTCTTGCATTTTGTGGCACAGCAATTTGCAGAGGCAACCTTCAACTGACAGAGCAAAGGGTCTGTCTACAGGCTCCCTGAGACAAATGCACCAAAGACCTGCAAACTGTCTGCAAGCAAGCAGATGGGAGCAAAGAATGATGATTTTAAAATGTTTTTTTACAAATAGTTCTTTTTTTTTTTACAATATGAAGCATGCCTGCTCCCAGGCTTTTATCAGCTACAGATGCCACTCACAGACCTCAAATGAAAAAGAAAAACAAACAAACAACCCTTCCTTTGACAGAGACCTCCTCAGACACTACTGTCAGCACAATGCCTGCTTCAAAGTCCAACGGAGGCAGCGGGCATCCTGATTAATATGTTCTGAATCAGGTCCAAGGAGGAGAAACAAAAGCTGATGAGCCATCCAAAGGCTGCAGGAGGCAAAACAAACACCCTTAGTCATTAGCCACAATTAGCACATTTAACTCTCCATGCAATGAACAGCACAAAACGCATCTTCAGAGAGGAAGGATATCATAACCAAAGCGAATGACATCATTCAGCTTCAGGGTGATGTACTTCTGGTCGGGAATCCTCACGTCATTGACGAATGTCTGCAGAGAGGAAGCACAGGTGTGGTTTTTGACCCAGGGCACATGCCCATCTGCTAAGGGCATTGCACATGCTCAGGGTGCACCTCAGCCCTGCAGACCACCAGCATGGAGCTCCCACGGGCAGGTCTGAGCACCCCAAGTGTGTTTCAAGCCAGGTATTCTTCTCACCGACTGCAAATGAAGCTTTAGTTCCTGATCTAAATATGTAAATGAGGTGCCTGAAGTCAGGAACCTTGGGTGCTCTTGGGTCTTCTCCAAACCAGCAAGGGCAGTAAATATAGGAGAAAAGCTGCTACAGCTTTTCCAACTACTGAGCTGAGAATGAGCTCTCCATCAAATACCAAACAAGACTCGTGCCAGCCCCAAGGCCTGGTCATTTATCAAAGCCTATAACATAGGAAAGGGAAATGGAAACACACAGAGAAGCAGGTATTTCAGTGGAATCACTGTGGTATCTAAGCCCATGCTGTCCAAGACACCATTTATCAGTACAAAAGACCTCTCACCCATGAGATGCACTTGCTCATTTTTTTTCTACGCTACAGACAGTTAGCTCAGGCCTGAAGAAACTGAATTATCCTTGTAAGGTGCAAAAAATGTGCTTCACAGCTGAGAACAAGCACCTCAGATGTCTCAGCTGCCTGCACTCTGAGGGGAACCCCTAAGGAATAATTCTTACAGAACAGTAGATCAAGCACTCAGATATCTTCCACAGATCAGCCCGTGTGCTTTTGCAATAACCCAAGCCATATAAAAATAACTCAGGAACTCTAGTGAAACAGCACCAGCATGCTGGTGGGGCTCAGGCACTCAGCAGCTGCAGACCCCAGAAGTTACCTGATCTTGCAGCAGGGCAGTGACCCGGCCTCACAGACCTGGCGCCTGCTGCCGGGTCTCTGCAGCCTCACTACAACATCAGCTAAGCTGTGAAGAGTCAAAATCGTGCTAGAAAATGAACTGACAAACTTTCATCACCAAGGCACAGATTTCTCCTTTTACTTTCTCACCTTGGTCAACTCAAACACACACTGTAAAACCAAGCAGTAACAAGAGGGAAAAATGAATTCTAGAGCAGGAAGCTGGAACACAGGAGGCAATGGTAATTTGCTTCCTGGCAATTGCCAGAAAAGCTAGGGAAGAGGTCTGTAATTTCAGAATAAAAGCGGTGAAGCTGGTCAAAAGACTATTTGCATGGAAGAAAATTCCACAGTAGACATATGTAGAACAAAAATAACTACTTGCTGGATTTTCTGCAAAAGAAGAGTCTGCCAGAAAATCCATTTTGATTGTTACCTGGGCACTTAAATAACCCCAATAAACTGCTTACTGCAGACAGAAATGCTATCTTCAAAAATCAAAAGGCACAGACTGCAGAATCAGCTGCCTGAACATCATAATAAAACAACATTTTAAAAGATCTGATAATATTATGAACTATATTGCCTGAAGTCATATAATGCATTGTTGAAAAAGTGGAAAATAAATGCAAAATAAAAGCAAATGCTGAAAATTGAATTAAAATCAAAGTCCCGCAGAAGAAATTTGACTTTCTCCCTGGAAGCAACATCCACATGAAAATTACCAACTAAGGACCTATTTACTTCACACAAAATAAACAGAGTTGGCCACAACAGCCTTCTCCAATGAAGTCTGTTGGACCAGCCAGAGAAGACAGGCATTGCTCACTTCTTTCAATCCATCTTTGTAAGTGCAAGTTAGCAAAATGCTGTAAATTCTTACTCATGAGCCTATGAAGAAAGAAGAGCAGCAGTGACAGGAACCTCACCTTTCTGCAAGCTGGATTTTTGAGCTATTCTTTAATCAGAGGTTTTGAAGCAAGGATCCAGGCAGAGCCCACAGCACTTAGCAGAAATACTGACATTTCAGCAGGGCTCTCTGCCTTCAGCCATTAGGCTGAGAAGGATTATCACTCACTCTAGCTACAGCCAGATGCCAGAGAAGGCAGAAAGGTTGATGTCTGCTTCACCAACAGTTACTGTGCGAGTTTCTGGGTTTGTCTCATGTTTTTGTGGCAGTGATGGTGGAGAGCTCCTGTTTCTAAGCTGAAAACAGTGACTGCAGTAAAACTACTACTGCAAACACAGGCCTGTGAATCTAGCTGAGGCTTGCTCCCCAAGCTGAATAGCTCTGCTGGTGTGTAGCAGCAGCCAAAGAGAAGCATGCACGATATGAGGACAGTTTTAATTCTCCCGATGTGTTAAATAATCACAGAATTCGGGGGCAAAGCCTCACCAAGCTGCCTAACAAGACTGAGTCAGGGTCACAACAAGGATTAAAACTGAGGCAGGCTCTGCTCTTGTTCTGGGTTTGCATTTTTCCTCAGTCTTAACACAAAACAGGTGAAATACCAATCTTCATTACCAAAAAGAGCTGGTTTTAAATAGTTTCTCCCCAAAGAAACTAAATGGCTTATCATCCCATAAATCACTCCACACACTGACAACAGAACTGCTAAAGGTCATCCTGCTCATGCTGAACAGCTGCTCCAGCTTCACCAGTTCAATGTTAACATGCCCAAAATGAGATAGAAAAGAGCAGGAAATAAATTCAAAGACACTATGGTTTTGTGAATGCTGGAGAGTTCTGCAAGGGCACCAGCAAGGGAAGAAAGAAAAAAAAAAAGATTAATTTATCAAAGCTTTCCTCTTCTAAGATGAGCTGCTGCATGACCTCTGTGTCAGGCCTTGCAAATAATTATATACATTTAGATTAATTTATGCCAACGGCTAGAGTAACCCAAGAGGGCCTAGCAGTAGAGGGATATAAAATGCTTACAGACTCTGCACCGTGTGCTGGCCTCCCTCATCCCAGAGGTTTGCTACTTACCCCATTTAAGCTCCCAAGATCCTTTACCCAGTGCTCATCTTTCTCCTTGTCATAGTTGATTACAGCGTGCTGCTTATCGACACTGCGGGACTGGCAATGAAAGCACAATGAATGTGAGAGCAGTCAGCCATAAGAGACACTGTTATTCACAACAACATTTATACATTAAACTAACCTGATATGGGATGAGAGGAGAGAAAACAGGAAAGATTAAATATTACTGCTACTATGAATAACCAAAGAATACAGTTAAAGCTTCCATGGTTGTTCTAAACAGCCCGCTGAAGACAATATTTATGTGAAAAAAATATTATGGAAAGCTATGTCAGCATTTCAGTAAGTTGTATCAATAGACACTGAAAACAAAACCAGTCAAATTAAAAGCCTGGGGGGCAGGATCTGATCCACTGCAAACTGGAAAACCTCATTTCCATAATCTGGTGCTGGTGGCCTCACCACTTATGGACTTTCTATTTGGAAGGATTTCTTCCTAATTTTCAAAGGGAAAAAGTATTTTCTTGAGTTCAAGCCGAATTCATTTACAATGCATACTGTTCCCAGAATCACGTGCTGGAGTTGATTTAAACTCTAGGATGTTTTCCAGCTTAGAGGAAGGTTAGGTAACTGAGGATGAAAAAGCAGCTCTAGAAAATTTAAATGTTAAGCCTGCTTTGAGGTCACTGATCAGGACAGCAATTTTGTCCCAGCGGCTCTGTCCGAATGCACATTACCAAACGTCTTATCTTCAAAACAGAGCATGACACTTCAGGAGAAATACTGTCAGACCATTTCAAGGCAGAACCGTTAAAGAAAAGCCTCTGAAGAGTTTGGAAATACGCCACAGGCGTTGCACTATGAGCCAGGCACTGGAGCCACTCAATCCATCAGGAGGTGCACCCACTGCTGAAACCTCCCTGAACCTCAGAGCAGGGGAAGGCATGCTGCCCCAGCAGGGAGCCCAGCCACACTGAGCACACCTTCCTCCTGGGCACCAAACAACAAGCTCTTGTTGAAAAATAAGTCCTTCCCTTTTCCCAAGCATGAACAGGCTGGTTTCCACAGCACCGCTCTCACTAAGCCATTACCCATTTCCTTGTGGGCAAGCAGAGGCAGAGACTATTTCAGGGGAATTCCTTGATGAAAACACAGTGGCTTTATCCTTACAAACTAAACTATCTGCAGGACTTTGTTCTTCCCAAGGACTACCACACACAAGTATCCCACCTGCACAACACAGATGCATGCATGAGGTATCCCCACGTCCCTCAGCAACCCAGTACTGTGGGTGGCTATCACTGTCCCCAGTGGGACGGTAAGGAGAGCTGAATAACTGGTGTCACAGTGTTTGCTTTAGCTTTTTACAGCATTCATTTAAAGATTAACAGAATTTAAAGGCAGAACAAACCCTTTAGCCTCTGTGCAAGGGCTGAATATCTTCTGCCTCAAGAATTCAGTCCAGGCACAAAAGTTAAGGCAGATTTTATCTTGCACCAAGTCGCAAGCCATTTAATAAATATACAGGGTTTACTTCAGGGAAGCAGCTGTCTCCTAAAAATTTGGTCTGCCCCGGACCTGACCCTGCTGTAAGTCAGCTCAGCCTTTGGACTGCTGTATTTTACAACAGCTGACTAGAGCCACTCCCGGTCCCAAAACAGACAAGGATCAACCCAGAGGGCAGAGATGTATTCCAGCACCATGATATTCCCCTACATAAAAGCAAAAGTCACTGATGGGACCTATTTATGCCAGAATTTCCCATCCTCCACAGAAGTTTCAGCTGCGTTCAAGACAACTCTTTGCAAAAGCAGTCGCAGTGATATAGTATATCTGACCCACAGTCTTGAAACTTCTCAGCATCCCTTTAAAGAGCATATTAGGACATGGCAAAGTGTTGTACAGCTCACAGTCCTGTGAAATTTCATGAGGTTTTTTGTTGGTTTTTTTTGAGAAAAATTTTCTCAGTTTTCTCAGCAGCAAACATCACAAGAACTGGCAACAGAAGTTCCTAAGAGCCTGTCTCCAAGGAAACTCAACCTAAAATAACTAAAATTGCACACCTTGTTTATTTTGATGCAATTTGCCAAAGGTCACTCTTGAGAACCAAGGTGTGGTTTATTTCAACATCAGTCACACTCAACATGAGCTGTTCTTTCTTGCAGTGACAGCAGCTGCCCGGAGGCTGATAGTGCTTTTGTTCTAGGAGAAGAGCAGAATCATCTCTGATTATGATTAACGCCTCAATCCCACTTCCAAGCAAAGCCTAGCCACATTCCACACTGGCAACAGATGAGAGCACCAGAACATATCTGCTGAAGTCACAGAATCACAGACTGGCCAGGGTCGGAAGGGACCTCAAGGATCATGAATCTCCAACCCCCCTGCCACAGGCAGGGCCACCAACCTCCACGTTTAATGCTAAACCAGGCTGCCCAGGGCCCCATCCAACCTGGCCTTGAGCACTTTTAGGGATGGGGCATCCACAACCTCTCCGGGCAGCTGTTCCAGCACCTCACCACTCTCTCTGTAAAGAACTTCCCCCTGACATCCAGCCTAAATCTCCCCTCCCTCAACTTAAAACCATTTCCCCTTGTCCTTCAGTTATCAACCCTTTCAAAGAGTCGATTCCCCTCCCCTCTGTAGGCTCCCTTTGGGTATTGAAAGGCTGCAATGAGGTCACCCCACAGCCATCTTTTCTCCGGGCTGAACAAGCCCAGCTCCCTCAGCCTGTCCTCATAGGGGAGGTGCTCCAGTCCTCTGATCATCCTAGTGGCTCTCCTCTGAACCCTCTCCAACAGCTCCCTGTCTTTCTTGTATTGCGGACTCCAGACCTGGACTCTGTACTCCAGATGGGGCCTCACAAGAGCAGAGTAGAGGGGGACACCACCTCCCTGTTCCTGCTGGCCACCCCTCTTCTGATGGAGCCCAGGATACCGTTTGCTTTCTGAGCCACAAGAGCACACTGCTGGCTCATGTTAAGCTTTTCATCTATCAGGACCCCCAGGTCCTTCTCCACAGGACTGCTCTCAAGGACCGCTCCTTCCAGCCTGTACGGATGCCTGGGATTCCTCAGGCCCAGGTGCAAAACTCTGCACTTTGCCGTGTTGAACCTCATCAGGTTCACCCAGGCCCAACTTTCTAGCCTCTTGAGGTCCCTCCGAATGGCATCCCTTCCTTCTACCGTGTTGAAATGCAACCTTTGACTGCACTGCTCAGCTTGGTGTCATCAGCGAACTTGCTGAGGGTGCACTCGATTCCTACATCAATGTCATTGATAAAGATGTTGAAGAGCACTGGTCCCACGACAGACCCCTGGGGGACGCTGCTCGTTACTGGCCTCCACCTGGACATGGAGCCATTGATGACCACCCTCTGTCTGCAGCCTTTCAACCAGTTTCTTATCCATCAAGTGGTCCACCCATCAAATCCACATCCCTCCAATTTGGAGATGAGGATGTGGTGGGGGACCACATCGAAGGCCTTGCTCAAGTCACTTCAGCTCAGCAAGCCAGCTGTTTCTAATGAATGAACCTTGAATCACAAAAGGTGAGTTAGGAAACCAGAGTCTCATAAGCTCAAAAAACTGCAACTGACTGAATACCAAGCAAAGGAAGCCTTAGTTTAAGAGCACACATTTACAAGATAGTAAAGCTATCAAAATCTCAGTTGAGACTGAGGGGGGAAAAGAAGGCAGGGAAGGAAGGTCTGCTGCTAGGCACAAGTGATCTGGCAGCAAGAAGTAAGGCTACACTCAGAGAGATGGCATAAAGAAGGGCCACAGCCTTCTCACCATGTCCCAGCATCAGTCCTATTAGCAAATAAGAACAACTCTTGGAAAAACACAGAGCATGCTTTTCTGGTTAACAATTGTAACTTCTCTGAAGGGAAAACAGACTCCGATTTCTCACCATACTGAACTCGTGCACCATTTGCACTTCCAGACATTCAAATCACTTCCTAATGTAAGGCTCTCTTGCTTCTCCCACGTAATGCCTACAACGAACGCACCGTGTTTTAAATGTCTCATAGATGAAATGCACATGCTGCACGTATCCAAAGACAGGGGTATTTTACAGTTGCCCTTTCTTCAAGATGACATTAAGGAGGAGTTATCTCCAATACCAGACAGGAACAGCATCTTCTGGTCTCAAACAGCATCTGCCAGTCTCAAATCTGGACCAAAACCTTGCATCAGTCCCCATGAGGCATGCAGCCAACAACCTGCTTGTGATTCTCATAACTGCACACATCAGGTCAGCAAATCATAGAATCACCAAGGTTGGAAAAGACCTAAAAGATCATCCAGTCCAACCATTCACCTATTCCCAATAGCTCCCACTAAACCATGTCCCTCAACACAACATCCAGTCTTTCCCTGAACACCCCCAAAAGCCCCTGCTTAGCATAGAAGCAGCAAAAGCTGCTTTCCAAATATGCAGGAGTCTCCACAGAAGCAAATATCGCATCATTTATGTGTGCTGCAAACAGCAGATGATCAACAGCACTGTGTTTGAGGAAGGCTCTGATGTATGGAGCACGACATGCAGGATGAAGCAAGAACCTGCAGAGACACCAAGCAAAACGCACACAGAAATGAGACCTGCTAAAGCAGGCAGGAGGAAAAAAATAGAGTCAAACAGTCTGCATTTCCCTACGGGGTCGGGGAGCAGACGCAGCTCAGCTGTCTATGCAGATACAGATGCTGCTTTTTTTCCCCAGCAGAATTAGCATGGGCAAAAGCCTACTGCCCTGGGTTGAGATTTGGACCTCAGCCCTGCCAATGCTGCAAGGCATCGTGGTGTTGGAGATAAAATAAACAAACAAGAGCAGTTTCCCTGTTCCTAACCACAGTCTGTTCTGCACGTCTGGCACAGGATATCTGCAGCATTCTGGTGGCAGCATGCAATAAACACTTGCTTGAATACTTTCCACAGTGAACAGGTTGCAGTTCTGCCAGCGATGTGCTCTGCACGACCGTCCCAGTAAGGAAATATAAACCTCTCCCAGTGCCCCACTTTAGAAAGAAGAGAGACAGAGCCAACATCAAACAAACAACAACAAAATAACCTGGCACACAGGCCAAGTTTACTTTT